GCATCAGGTTCCCATAAGGAACTGTGTAATCCTGTACGCACTGCTTCCCCATTTCAACTTTCAACTGCGTAGCTAATTACAAAAATATGGGACATTGGTGCGTGCCATTCGCACTAGTGTTTTATTGTCATTATTTATTATTGTTTAGCTGAATACAATTATTTGAAAACACCCGATTCCTAAAATATATATGGCTTCAACGCCACTTTGACAATCCCTGACCCTTTAACTCGGAATAAACTGTCAAGCTAAATCCTTTCACACTAATTTGTTGACATGTTTCCCAAGCAGTTTTAAGTCCTAACACGCTAATTGACGATCACATTCACACCACATTCACTTTAACCAAATCCATTTTAAACTATTTGCCTCTGTTACAGCATTTTCAATTGTTTTTTTTTACCGAGGAAAATATTAAAAAGGAATCAAACGTTTTGCCTGTAAAGCAGTGCATGCTAACAGGCTGCAAGTAGCGTCTCTATGTGGTATATAAAACTACAACCACTGCTATAAAACGAAATATATTAGAATAATCACCAATTTTGATCAGATTTTATTATCAGCCCCACTTTTGCCAAAATAAATAAATAAATAAATAAAACAAATCACCCAGTTTCACATCTGCTAACTCTTGCTAGCCAGACACTTTCATACTACAAAATGCTGTTGCTCTTTCCAGCAAAAACAAATAGAGCAGTTTTATTGACTTAGATAGCAAATAAAGCGTTTGGAATAACATGATAATGTATATCTGACAGTAAGCAACACATTAACTCTTAAGCTTTAGTGGTTTCCGTGTTCATAAGGTCTTAATGACGGAACGTTCATGGACTGGTGCTGGCTAAAAAATATGGCTTACCCATTACCAAGGACATAAACACTCATGCACCAAGCTAAACTAAAAACCACAACGAACTATCGTAAAAGAACCTAAACGGCCTGCACAATAACATCACATTCCTAAAGCTGGTGTTTTTAACCTTGAGTTTAGGAAACGCAATGGTAAGTTACGTATGAAGCTAGCAGCGCATTCATTTTGGCCGACAGATTCGCACTCACTTCGCTAAATGGACGTAGAAGGGGGGCCCGAGTATTGCTAGGGTGATTAATCAGCAAGTATATATATTCATTTAAAAATTAAATACTTCTTTTAACACTCACCTACAATGCGCTGCTAACGTCCTCGTACATGATCGGAACAATCCTCCGGATAATAATCGCTGGGGTCCGTTTCATTTCATTAAGCTAGCTTTGGCTAGGCAGGGTTTACTAGTTTGTTGTTGATGGGGGAAGTGCTGTCGGACGAGCAAACGTTTGCAAAACTACCTGATATTAAGATTTTGGTTGGCCAATACCAGTGAATCAAATGAGTTCATGCTGGACTCTCATGTTTGCTGCTTTCATCCAGAGTGAGTAGCTTAGGCTAACCCCCACACCCAGATCTTCAATCTGGAGAAATCTAGCAAGCTTGTTTGATAAACTTGCTTCATGTAACAGTTTGAAGGATACGGCACCAGCTTTCTGTCTGTGCGAGTGCAGGCTGCAGATTAAAACGTGTTTTTTTTTACCTATGCTCAGTTCAACTGCGACCCCTACTTTTGAGAGGACAAACAGGGGTGCACTCTGGGTCATGGTTAAGTTAGTTAGAGAGTGTTTCTCCCGTTTTACCCGTCTCTTGTAGTGCTGGAGAGATGCGATGCTGTAATGGACTAAAACTAATAACTTGTTCTATTTTGTTTGTTTTTATTATTATTCATTTTATTATTAGAATATCTATCTATCTATCTATCTATCTATCTATCTATCTATCTATCTATCTATCTATCTATCTATATCTATCTATCTTGTCTGTCTGTCTGTCTGTCTGTCTGTCTGTCTGTCTGTCTGTCAGAGGTGGATACTTGAGTGAAAGTAGATACTGGTCAAATATTACTCCGTTACAAGTAAAAGTTGTAAAGACCGATTTTTACTTAAGTAAAAATACAGAAGTACCTGTTTTTAAAAGCTATGAAAAGTAAAAGTAGCCTAAATGTCAGTGCATTGTTTTATTATTGTTGCATTGTTGTATGTAATACCTACTTACAGAAGGCTATAGGCCTACTTATGCCTCTGAATCTATGCCTGCCTACCTATAGGCCTACCTACCCTCATATCAATTTCACATTTATTTCTAGAAATGATGTTTTGTAAACAAAGTTCGGGAGGAGCACGTTCAAATAATCATTCCAATCAACTGGTCATCAAACAATTACCATGTCTACCCTATCAGCACGAGAAGGAGCATATAAATATTCACTCTGTCAACTCACCTAACATTCCTTGACAGTTTCAGCATCCCTCCACCACCCCGACTCCTCACTCTTGGCTTATCTTATTTATTAATTTCACAGCCAGGAATACGGGGGGAGTGCTCTGGGTTCAGGCCGAATACCTAACTCGGAGCCCTCTCCTCGGACAGCACGCCAAATACGCATTTATTCTATCTGACTTATTTGTAAGTGTGAACTCGTGAACACAGTTCCAGTAGTGGGATTGAATGTGAGTGTGTGCACTCAATAACGTCCACAATGGTTTCGGACACCCAAATGGCTGTTCCCTCAAATAGTGCCCTATTTAAAGTTTTGCTTTTAGTATGAATATGTTAGCCTTACTGTTATCTATAAGCTAGTGTGCTCCAAAACAATGACAAAATTTGCATTTAAGACCAAACCCAACGTTGAAAAAGAAAATCAGGTTGATGTCAGAATCCAACGTCAGATTGACGTTAATCTCCAACGTTGGACGGACGTTGTATTGTGGTTGGAAATGAAAATTGGGTTGGATGTTGACGTCAACACGACGTCGGGTTCTGACGTCAACCGACTTGGATTCCAACCAAAATGCAACCCATGCAACCAAAATCATCCCCTGACTGACGTTACTACTTTCTACTCAAGGACCTTGACAGAAATGTAGTGGAGCAAAAAGTACGATATTTGTCTTTGTAGTGAAGTTAAAGTAACAAGTTTCCAGAAAAAATAATACTCGAGTAAAGTACAGATAGGCCTATACTCAAAAAGTGTAAGTACAGTATTTAAGTAAATGTACTTTGTTACTGTCCACCTCTGCTGTCTATAGCCTACAAGTACACAATTAAATAATTCAATTATTTATTCTGTTTATTCATTGCCTTAAAAAGGTAGCCATTTTAAGTGGCCCATTTATTATCTGGCCACAATGCTCACAGGCAGCACTCTCAGTACAGAGATATTTGGTCATAATAGATGTCAGTTCATCTTTGCTTTCAAAATCAGCACACTATTGGCTCAACGAAAATCAATTGTATAACCAAAACATTTAAAATGAGTAAATGAGACCACAAAATATTGCCTGATCAAAGGTTAACTATGTCTATTCTCAGACTAGATAAGTATAGATTTATAAAGAGGCCGACTTTATTGATCCCGTGCAAATGCATATAAGCTGCCCATTTTTAAATAAAAGGTCTCTATTATGTATGCCTGTAATACATGTCTATTTCTTATTAAATATAATCTTATTTCAATCTACAGAGGATGGTTGAATAAACTATTATTATTTATCTATAGTGAAGAAACCAAGCAGGTCTAGATGTGTTGTTCTTTGAGTTGACAAGCCATCAATGTGGCATAGTTTGGATCACAGGCAGTAACTCAACACACCCAAACAAAATGTTTCATTTGCATACTGGAGAAGAATGAAACGATGGCTTCATGAAATGCACTACCGACATCTACTACAATGCAGTCATGTTCTTTCTAATATATGACTCAATGATGCTGCATTATGTCACGTTTAAGTCAGAAATTCTGATATTGCAAGATTCAGTTGCACAGTACAGGCATTCTGTGCAGTGTCTTTTAAAACACAAACTGGTATATTGATCTCTATACAGAACATAACGTGGCATATTAAAAAAAAAAAACATAAACTAACCCATTGACAAGATTAATAACTTCTTCCTAGCTTTCACTGGGATTAATTTGAACAGGAAAGGTTTGGATGAAGCCTGAATAAGCTTATCTTAAAAATCTGATTGGTTCACCAAAGGTAATGGTTGGGTGGGTCTACATTACAGTCTTTGCCATTGGCCTGATCCAGATGGAGTTGAGAACAGCTCCTCTCCAGTGGGGTGGGGTGTCCATCTGCCCCCTCCATGACCAAGATAATCCTCTTCTATACCTTCACAGCTGAGAAAAATAAATAGCGGAAAAAAGAAGCAGTCTCAAAAGCTTAATTTTAGCATTACAATGCTAAATCTTTTAAATTGTCAGGCTGTAGTGGATTAGCATAGTGCACTATTTGTACATTTTGTTTCAGTTTTTTAAAAAAGAATTGCCTATATGCACATTACACACCCAATATGATTTTTGTTATTATTTGAATTGCATTTATTAACAAAAGAAGCTTTCCCAGTCATTTTTGGCATTAATGCTGATATTTCTTATACACAAACAGTAATAGAGAACAACTTAAAAATATCACAAACAATAATTTATTACTTCATTAATTTTTATTAATTTCAGGAAGCTGTTTTTCAGAACAGATAATTTGTAAATCATACTAAGCACATCAGAAGATGCAGTGGTGTATTCTTTGGTGTCCACAAGGGGGTGTGATGCACTGTTAATTCCTGTTTAGCACCATCATTTCAGACACTGGAAATTGACCTCAATTAGTCAGACATGGTTAAACAGTGTTAACACAATATTTGGTTGGCAACTCATTTCTGTTTAGAACTTCTAAATGACTAACTACAGGATGTAATGTAATATGCTGATTTTTCGAATTGGGAACTGACATGATATTGTACTCAGTACAACTCTAGTGAGAATAAAACTCTCTGTGTTTTGTGTGAATAATGTATATAAACACTATAAACTACAATAAGTAAAAAATAAGATTGTATCAGTGTCTGTTTGGTATAACAAAGGACCTCAAGCCATTTGAACTACATGAAATATATATTATGAATCCAAATGTATAAAAATAAATATTTATTACTCTTTGAAATATCTTCTTGTAAAACAAACATAAAAATACAAGTTTACATTTCAAATCCCGTTATTGTCCATATGGTGATTATTCAATATGACAAGTATTATCTGAAAAATATGATTTTTTTTAAGTTACACTGAATATTTCACATACAGTATATGTATAACGGCAACACATTTACATATTCTCAATTAATAAAGTAATTGTAACTGGATGTTATGTGGTGAGTAATTATACCAGTTATAGTGCCTAATGCATTTTCTTTTTTTTGGTCAGTTCAAAAATCAGTTTTATATTATGTTTGCATATTCTGTGTCTTAACCATCAGTAAAACTTCTGAGGGTCAAGAAATATCCGTCCTAATGTGTGCAAAAGCCTTGCATACCAGTAAACCTCCTTTTGCTGCAAAAAACTGTGTTCATTTTCCATTTCCACTTTGGCATCTTGGAATTTGCTGCATGTGCTGGAAGAACTGTTGTGCATCACATTTGTAAGGAAGGTCTGATTTGTGGAACAGATATTAGGGATCATGGCACTACCTTTAACCCCCACTCTTTGTAAGTTTTCTTCCATTTCTGTCTGGAAAAAGCCAAACAGGACACGGACAGGCCAAAACGCCCAGTGTGCGAGTCTGTGATCTTCAACAGAAGCGTAGTTGGATACCAGCACGCCATCCACAAATAAGTTCCCATGTTCTGTCAAAGGAGCATAAACCCCCATCCTCTCCTCCAGTGAAATCGAGACCACTTTAGATGGCTGAATTCCTCTATTGTCTCCAGTAGTAAGTATATAGTCCCCAATCCTAACTTCTTTGGCAAAAATAGCTTCATACTCATGGTGGTGCAGTTCGAGATTGTGAGCCGCAAAGATGAGGTGATTGGGAGTTAGTGCCATTTGTTTACCATTTTCGGTGCCAAAAATAAAGAAAGTGGCTCTGCTCTCTCTATTCAAATGTAGAAAGAGAAGTACCCGACTGAGAACAATTTCACCTGACCCAGACAAGGAAAGCACCTGTTCCCCAGGCCACAAACTCGAAATAGGCTTTTGAACACCATCGGCCATTGTCACAAGTCCCAATCCTGAAAAGCAGCCACCTTTCTCCACGGCTACAGAGTGATCTGTAAAAAAAAATATAGAGGTGGAACTAAGTTAAATGGATAGTTCCCCCAAAAATGTAAATGCTGTTATCATTTACTCAGCAGCACCATCATTTGTCCAGACACTGTAAGTCAATGGGGTCCAAATCAACACTGGACCCCAATGACTTTCATTGTATGGACATTTTTTTAAATATCTTCTTTTTTGTTCCTCATACAGTTTCGAGGGTGAGTAAATAAGGACAGCATTTCAATATTTGGGTGAAATTTTCCTTTAAGAGTTACATGATCTGAACGATGAATAACATTGAAAAGGAAAGATTTAGCAGCTTACCGGCTTTGACTGAGCAGTGTACATGATACCTGGATTCATAGTGCACCCAGTCAAATCCAGCCTCAACTGCCAACTGGGCAAGTAGTCCATATTTATCTGTGTCTCGGTCTGAGGTGGTGATGTCGACAGCACGGCCCTCATAATGTAAAGAACCATCAGGGTGATGGCCGTCCTCATCCCAGGCCTCTGTCACTCGCAGTCGGACCCCAAACCATTGGTTCATTACTGCTATTGCCAGTTTATTGAGGCAGTCCTTACAGCGCTATGCAGTGGAAAAAGTAATGAAACCATCATACAGGTGACACAAACAGAAGGACAAAACATTCCATTTAAAGGGATAGTTTTCTTAGTTTAAAAGTCTGTCACCATTTACTCACCCCTATGTCGTTGTAAACCTGTATGACATTCATTCTTTCTTCAACATTAAATCAAAATATCTTCTTTTGTGTTCCACGGAAAAAGAAAGTCATACCAGTTTACAACGACATAAGGAATAATATTCATTTTTGGGTGAATTTTCACTTTAACCATTCCAGACTGTCTCCCTTCTTACTAATGTTTCGAACTTTGAAAGCATGCAAATACCATGACATTTAACTATTTTCACAATCGTTTGGCAAAAATTGGTGCTGGTAGACATCAGCGATTTTTTTTGTCCAGCATACTCAGCTCTGCAAAAGGCCATTTCCACCCCCTTAACATCTAACAAGAACAAAGCTACTTTAACTCATTTCCAGCATTCTTCGGACACTTCAGCATGGTCACAGAGTGAAGTCAAGGTCAATTCCCTTTTTTTCTCTTCACACGATGGGAACATTTTCACACAGTCTTTTGAACGACCCCAGTGTTAACCTTGAGACTCTGTACTAAAGCATTTAGACTTCCTCCACAGATTTTCAAAATGTTGTGTCTCTACACCTCACGTGATGGGGAATCTGTGAGAAGGTAGTATTATTTGTCTGTGAAAATAATATAATGTGACCTATAGGGTCGTGATTGAGAGGGTATGGGAAAAGGTGAGAGAGCAAAACAGGGTCGAAAAGCCAAGGCAAGCGAGAAGAAAGCAAGAACCAGTCCGAGCGAGAGGCCAGATGGATGGAATGTTTAGATGTGTTCTTGGGAATGTGACAGCAAGAGTGAGAAATCAAGAGGGGAAGAAAACAAACCAGGGAGATTTTTCTCGCAATGCTGTTGGACAGAGGCAATTCATTGTGAAAACTACAATAGAGGCTTTTCCAATGGTGCCATTACTTCAACAGGCGAGAATTCTGCACAGGCGACCCCGCAGAGGCTTGAAAAGATGCACAAAGGATAGCTTTCAGACTTGGGCAACAAGAGGGCACATGCATACGTACACATACACCAACGCAAAGCACTTTCATAAGAGTACTCACTAATCTAGTCAAACTTATTATCAGTGATATCAAACTTATCAGTAATATCTCAAAACGTTGAGAATGATACCAAAAATGATACCCTTACAGATTAGGACATGCCAAACAATACAGTGCCTTTTTCTGTTAACTTATTTAACTGAAATTTTCATCATATTGCCTTAATGAAACAAGTTTTTTGAATGTCTCATATTGTGACTTGTGTGTATTTAAGGTTTAAAAGAATATTTAGTGTAGTCTGAGTTCTTCACAATGTTATCTGCCTCACCTATATCACGTTTATACAAGAGAACACACACACACACTCCCATGCTAAGGAAGTAGAGGTGTAGTGATTATTTTATAGCTCTAATGAAGAACTTGGTTAATGATTAAATGGTGCAGTGGCAGTCCAGACAGTCCTATTGTCATGTTTTGTTTTTTGTTTTTACATTGCCTAGGGAACATTGGAAAATGGGTAAACATGCTATCAACATCATGAGATCATGACAGTCAAAATCTCTCCTCTTGGTCCCAGAGTTTCAGCTGCACAAATCTAAACATTAAAATAATTCTTGTTAAGATTTCTTTAATTTAAGGTAATTCATTTTGCAGGGCCTGTTCCGAATAATTCACCTTCTGTCACTGTGTATTATCATATTAGTTATTTGCATCAATTTGCAACTGGAAAACTATGACAATGAAACACATCTGAATTACAGGAATCTCAAAACCCCTGTATTTTCAAGTACTGTTTAACTGTGCATGAAGTATGTCATGGATGGCTGAGAGGGTTGAATGGGCCACCAGACATGCATCTGGGTCATTCCACGAAATCTGTGCCTTAATTCTCCATTTTGATTTTAAATTAGATTTTAAACATTCTATAGACAATTTGTGGATTTGTGGATGGTGTGCTTGAATCCAATACGCTTCTGTTTATACGAAAGACAATTTAATGCTGATATATATATATATATATATATATATATATATATATTATTATTATTATTATTATTATTTTATGTTCTATAATAAACTGTTTACTGTACAAAACCACAGTAAGAAGTATTGACTATAGGCTATTTAAAAACTTTCCTTATTGACTACCTAATGTAAGATAGTGACAACTATGATGTCATAATGACATATTCGTAATTATTCGTAAATAATCATTTTAATAAATATCGAGTAAAAATGCTTTAAAAATGCAGAGGGTATTCTAACATACCCTACCGGTATATAGTAAAATATTAAAATAGCATATAATTTATTTCTTTTTTTTTCTAAAGATATTTTAATAGGCTAGCCTATGTAGACCTGTTTTAATCTACACACACACATGTATAGGCCTATCACATAAAAAGCCATGAAGAAAGTCTAAAAAAGAATAGGCTATTCATTGTTTACACTCGTTAATGAGAGACACAAAAACCACTGCAGTGACCAGTCTGCAAAAAATATGACGCGGTTGATTATATTAACCGTTAGACACGGGTTTCATTTACCTTGGTCATTAACCGGTCGGCTTTGGTATGTTCCTCGTCTTTGAAGACAATGTCAGGGTTGTAGTTGCACACGAGCTTATTGAAGCCTTCCGAATCCCTCGTTATCCTGCCCTCCGCTCTTCCGCTCGCTCCCAGGTTGTTCTCAGAGACACCGGGCACGTACTGCTTGTAAGACATTGGAGTTAACTTGCGTTGCCTAGGGCGACTGCCGTAACCGGGACCCGGCCCGCATCCGTCAACCGCCAGCCATGAATAAAGACACGCAGTCAGCAGGCCGAGCCTTGCCAGCCTTGACCAAGGAGTCAACGTCATTGACGCGCGTGAAGTGTGCCAGGAGATCAGCGAGCCGCGAACCCTGCAGCGCGAGCGTCTCTCCCAGCACCTCGTTGCATTTCGTTTACACAACTGACTTTTTCCATGTCCATATCACGGTGTTGAATTAAAATGGGCACTCGTGGGGACTAGGCTCGTGAATCATTGACCAAAGTGTAATGGCTTCCAGATTAAACTGATATTTAGACCTTAACATCAATGCATCCGACATCCAGCCATGGTGAGTGTTTAACACTGAAGAACTTTCCATATAATTTGCATAAAATAGCTCTCAATGAGCTTACGCAGGTCAAATTTATATAGCCAATTTGCAGTATTCCAAGCTGAGATGGATTGATCGCATCCACGTTCTCGTTTGTAGATATTGGCATAGCAACAGGTGCTTCATCCCATCATCCTACCCCACCTTGGACAGCTCCGCGCGAAGCAGCGTGTTCTCCAAAAATGTTCACAGCGCGTGTCTCTGTTTGTCCTGCCTCATAGTCGCGCTCAAGCATAATTTCATTCCTTTACTGTATGAGGGCTCTGACTATGGATCAACATGTGTTTGCTCCCGCTTTTAAGCGTTGCGCTCGGACCATTGAGTATTTGTGACCGGACAAATCGCCCTCCCTTCCTGCGCGCGCTCCGGGACAGTAGCGCACACGCCTCCTCGCGCGCGTTTCCAGTCATGCAGTTGTGAAGTCATTGCAGTGTATTGCAATGAGTGCAAAGTTTTACTTTCCTGTGCTGTGTATTTAACAGCATAGGGTACTTGTCTCTCCTTGAACTGAGAAACAGGGAAGACTGGGATTATATAAATAAATTGGCTATTTCTCAGGGTCGGTTTATTATTAAAATCAATTTCTACAAACGCACAGTCTTGGCAACAGGTTGATCTTGTGTGACAACATGCCCCAATAGCGTTTGCTATTACACTATGTCAGTTGCTTATTTTACAGAATATATAAATGGGTAGTTGTAAGCACTTTGCTACCATAGAGACTGGGGTTATAGTTGTCACAGTTGGCACAAGGGTTTGTGTTTCAAAAGTCCAGTTACACAAATGTGTTTTTACTTATTGGTGTTGTATGTTGTTGATACATAATAACATAACATACATGTGACAACTTGCACAGGCTTCATATTTATGAAAAATACCGTTGTCCTCCTGATAACGCAGTTTAATATTTTTGTTAAAACCTACCTCTCTAGACCCTTGCATAAATTATTTTAATTCGTTTAAAAAATCGAATTATTCTAAGAGGGGGTTTTCAACAAAAAAAAACATTTGTGTAACTAGACTTTTGAAACACAAACCCTTGTGCCAACTGTGTGACAACAAGCCCCAGTCTTGCAGGTGAGGGTCATTGGCATGGATGTATGAGAGATAACATAGTCATTCGCAACATTTCTATGACTCATTCATTTCTCTCTCTTTGTTTTTCTCCTGAAGCAGAAGACACTGGCTGACACATGCACCCCGTGCCGAGAAGACCTCTGGGCTGTTAACACCCATGTTTTATCAGCATCGTAATTTTAAACCACCTCAGAACAATGGCTCAAAATTAGAAGACAATACAAATATCTTGAGTCAATATGGCAATGCTATAGCGAGAGGAAGAAAAATAAAGAGCTGCAAAATTTCAAAATGATTTCCGCTGACCTACGATGTGCATTCAGACCTTTGGCATCTCAGACCATTAATTCACACACACAGATAAAAGATGTAAAGGTTAACGCTGTTCGGAAATCTCTCAATCCTTCAGATTTAAACAGATTTAAAAATCCTTCATATTTTATATTAATTTTCCTTCATAATATTGCTGTTTTATTGCTTTCAGGTTTAAATTAGACTTTGAATCACAGATGTTTTTACACCAATGGACAAAAATGACTGTAAAGCTAGATATTATTTTGTGTTCAGGTTGGTTTAGTTATGCAACATGTACTATTTTTTATTAATTTTCCTTCAAACATGTCTTTGTTTTAAACTTTTAAATTGCATTTTTAATTGACCAGTTTTCAATGTGGTCTCAGACTCTCAGAGATACAAAAACAGCTGTAAAGTAAGATATTATTTTGTGTTCAAGTAGTTATGCAAAATGTTTAAGAAATTTAAAAAAATACTTTTTTATATTAATTTCCTTCATAATGTATTTCTGTTTTAAACTTTTCAAAAACTTTATTTTCAGGTTTAAATTACATTTTTAAATGACCCATTTTCATTATCTCAAACTAATAGACAAAAACCATTATAAAATAAGATAATTTTGTGTTCAAGTAATATATTTATGCAACATATTAGAATAAATCAAAGATCCAAGATCATAGGTCTTCTTTTATGTTCTTCTGGCAGACAGATGTATGGTTCAATCACACATCCCAGACATCACAAATAACAGCAAATGTGGGGAAAGGCTTAATCACAAGTGCAAACGCTTTCAAGAGCACAATCAGTGATACTGACATTCCGCCAAGGGGAAATAGAGAAAATAGCCGCCATTAAACATTAAAGGGAGGAGATGACAATACAAATAAACACGACTGTTTCAAAATGGTAACGGTGTAATTGTTATTAGTATTTCTGCATCCCCCCTCTTAGCGACCTCACTCCCTCACTTCAGGATGGGAGTATATAGAACAGTGAATGGCTGAGTTTCCTGAGCAGCCACAGCACAGAAAATGAGATCTTTCCTGCCAGTTACTCCAGCCCTCGTTTTCCCGTTACAGACGAATCGTGACTACACCTGGCCTTATAATAGTAAAGTACCGTTGAGCTCATGCTACTTTACTTGGCCTCAGCTAAATTAGATGCTGCGTCATTCGCAAAGCCCTCGATTCCAAAACTGCCTAGAATAGTCAGCTGATCTTCGGGGGTGATGGTGTTCAATCAATCATGTCAGGCGTTACAGAGCACGTTTACATAACACGGGCTTGTAAATAAGGTAGAGGCACTTAGATTTAGTAGGAAAATGCTGACTAGATGCTTTAAAGAATATGTTTCCTGAAACAAAAGCTGTTGGGGGGACCGAGATGAGGGGGTCGCCGAGAAGAGTCAAGTAACTGACATCCATTATGACCCACCACCATCGGTCAATTCTATCGTCCCTCACCCTGTTATCAGTGCAGGAAGAGGCAGGGTGGTGTGTTTTACTGTGCTATGCTAAAAGCACATGATTTCTGGCTTCAGCGCCAATATACAGCTTAGGCTGCCCCTTACCTTAAATAACATGCTAGGGATCATGGATAAACAGGATCATAGGTGTACATGGCTACACATACTGCATTATGGCCTGGTTTAGTTGACACTCATGCACAGTCAATATATTCATGCTCTGTGCTTTTAGAAGATATTGAAATTTGCCTATATAATAATTGTAGTAATACAACAACTGTGACAGAACAATAGCAGATCAGGGTGGAACTTCCTGATCCGAAACAAGCAGGTTAAAGGTCAAGAGAAGAGAATATATTGCAGATAATGTACTGTACCTACTATCATGCTGACCAGATTTAGAAACATGTTTTTACAGCAGTACTCGACCAGGAAAATAAAAGATAGCCTACCATGCAAAGGACAACTTCACGTTTCACTTTTGTATGGCTAATACTTCAAAATACACTCACAGCCTGCTTAAAGCTGCAGTTCGTAGCTTTTTTGGGGTTAAAAATTATCCAAAATACATATTTGAGAAAATACATAACCAGCCAGTGTTCAAAACTATCTGCTTGCCTTAGCTCGATTCAAAGCGGTAAGCTTGGAATAATATTTTTAACTCCAGTGGTACTGGTGGATTTCCGCGGGAGATTCGAGCATGTCTTTGGGTCATTACGTCACATCTGTACACATAAAGAAAGAGTCTCGGCTAGTCGGCTATTGCGTGTGAGGATGTTGGAGGTGGAGATTTATAGCCTTTTCTCACAGCACTTGATATAATTGAACTTATCAATTTGATGTCGGATCCAGAAAGGTTCAAACGACAATCACCAGTGACAACTTCTCACCCGCTGTAAAATGCAAAAGACTTCGTTCGGACTTCGGAGTGGCTACAGAAACAAAGAGACTGAGATTGTTAGATTTAATCAGCACGATTTAGGCTACTGCAATGTCAGAACCAGGACAAAAGTGGATGTTACTTGTTCAGATGACATTTTCCGGTGAAAATTATTATGTTGGTCATACTTCCAAAAAAAAATAATCTGTGTTTCTGAATGCCAGTATCCACACCGGCGCGCTGACTGACAGCTGCACACTCTCCTCAAACATTGTGTTCATCCGCGCTGTGCCGTGTTGAAGTACAACTCATGTGAAGTTGATAATTCCGCGAATGACTGCAATTGCAGACTTCGAACAGAGATGGCGACAAAGAGGAAAAATTGCGGACTGCAGCTTTAAATATTTATTGTAAAAAAATATATTAAAAAAATGTGATTTGTCACTTTAAGAGCTCTGTACTATAAAAACCTTGTTCAGAATGGCTGTAAATATAACAGGTTGACAGACTGGACTGTCTTTATGAGTGAGTCATTGAATCAATTACTCAACTCATTTGTTCAAAAACACTGATTGATTCAATAACTATTTAAATGACTGCATGGCTGCATCTGAAATCGCATACTTCATTTAGAAGGCAAAAAACAGTAGGCTATGTGACAAAAGAAGTACGGTATGTCATAATTCACAGTAAACTCATAAAAGAGTAGGCAAAATGTACTCGTAAGACCTACTACTTCCGGCGAGATTATGAAGCGAGCATGGACACTTTACCATCGGCCACGGTTGTAGTCACATGATAATGACAACATTGTGGATGTAGTACGTTACATTACATATAGGCTTTACTATATAGAACATACTTATTTAGTGGATGCAAATCTAATTCTTCAAACTAAGTAGGCCTACCTGTCTTTATGAGTAAATCATTGAATCATTCACTCAAACAACTCGTTCATAACCCTAATTCATTCAACACCTTAGGGCTTACTGTACTCAGTGTACTGGGTGTTGTTCAGCTACAGTTGATCGTGTTGTGGCTCAGTTTTGGAGCTGTATTTGTTGGAGAAACATTGTTAAATAGTGACGTCTTAAGCTTTGAAAAATACAGAGACTGTTCCTCTCAACTGTATAGGGTTCATTACTCAAACCTTGTCGACATGGTAGGCTATAGCCTAGCTACATGGTCAACAATATGAATATCCCCACCTACCAAACATGCTGTGTCCCATTACATCTGCTATTTTCACATCTGGTTCTGCAACCGATTCTTCATGAAACTTTTTGTAGCTTAAGACATAAATTCATTGTTAAAGTGATTAAGTTGTTTGGGTGATTGATTGGCACTAAAATACATGAAACACGAATAAAATCTGTGATCTATCTGTTTTAACCTAACCATGCATTAAATTTTTTTTTTTTTTTTACCACATTATGAAATAATTTTTTTTCTTTTTTTTGACTGGAGTAAGGAAACCTGTTCTCTCTCCGCAGTCACGTGGTTCAAGATTGGCGAGGACGTGCTTTTAGCAACAAAAAAAAAAAGTTTGGAATCCGATTCAAAATATCCTCCTGGGACCCAAGAATAGACTTTTGTCCACTGTAGTGGACATAATATTTTAGTGAATTTCTCTGACATCATACATGTCACATGACACAACCTAGGTGTCCTGTAAAGAGCACATTCAGGACTTTTCAGAGATACCAAATGTTTGGAGGTTTTACCATGAAAACAACTTCTCCTTGGTTCAACATCTCAGGAAAATGTTAAGGGGTTTCAAATTAAAAAAATACTTTCTGTTACAGAATAGGGCATTGATTTCAAACGTGTCCACTGTAGAGGACATCAGGACTTAAATCATGTTTATCAGGCATTCTGGGAGACACAACAAGTGAATATGGAAATAAATTATACATCAATATTCCTATGAAATATTAGATATTATTATTAAAATGTTGCCAATTATTACTCCAATTATTACACTTCTTTTTTCATTAAATGTTGCTCCAAGAACACATTAATGTGCAAATTAGATACAGTGTATTGATACATTGCATTGAATGGGATATGGGAATATTAATTTATGGCCATTTTACCCACATATTGCAAAAAGTAAAATGGTGTATCAATTTATTCCATTATTTATTTCATAACATAGTTGAGAATAATCTTTATACAAATTTTGGTTGAAAAAAATCCTGAAACCCCAAAATTTATTGGTGATTGAAAAAAAAAATCCCATTGTTTTTGCCTATAGGCCTACATATAATTTCATGTCATTTTATTTTTTAAACAACTTAGTCCTGGCGTCCACTACAGATGACATAGCATAACGTATGAATAAAATATTGTTGTATATATATGTTTTTTTTTTTTTTTTTTTTTTTTTTGCCATTTGTTTATTGTGCTCTAAACAGTGTGATGACATGGAAAAAAAACTAAATTCAAAAACTTTTTTTTTTTCTGGGTCTCAGGAGGATATAACAAAATTCTCATGTCCTTTTCTTGATTTATTTAAAAAAATCCGATTATGTCAGTTCTTTTCTTACAAAAACACCTGGTCTATGTGAGAAAGGCAAAGGCTCTTGAGTGTGTGAAAGGAGTGTGTCATGAGTGTGCAAGGTGGGTGTGGATGTGCCGTTGGAGGCGGGCAGCGACCCATTATCAGTTGATTAGCTAGTCTTTTCCGGCCTAGAGTTTTCTATTTTCCAGAAGGAATAATATCTTCTAATGCACTTTGGCACACACTTCAAACTACCGCCAGGAGCTAATCTGCCTATTTCCCCCTTCATTCTTGTGTTTTGACAATAACGATAGCCTATCGCAACCTGTGAAAGACTGCCTGTCTTCCTCTTGTCTGATATGATTAAGTCATTTGGACCAGTCAAAAATGCCCTCTGCTGACAGAAGTGGCATGCGTCCACCCAATATTGTTTTACTAAATGTTTCTGAGGTAAACTAAAAGTAAGAGGACAAGATTTACCTGTCGTCATTATTTGCACGTAGGCTACGTTTGTTAGTTTAAGTTCACATGATTATAATGTCACAATTTGCTTTAAAAAGTGACTCAGAAATATGTAGAATCTTAGACATTTTCTGAACGTTTCCTTCATAATAACGGGCTATATAATAAATGGGCTATTTACATATTTCTTTTTTTTTATTATTAAACGCTAAAACCTCATTTTAATATTTAAAATTAGATTTTTCATCCCACATTTTCAATGTCCCCATTTTTTTGTTAAAGTAAATAAACAATTTGGCAAGATTATAATACTAAACAAAGGTGTAATATTTGATTACACAGTGGTTTAAGAAATGTTAAATATTATTTTAGCATAAAGCATAATTTAATGATGTTATTTAAACTTTTGCTTCTCATGACTTAAGTGTAAGCTACTTTATATTACATTTTCAGAAAAAAAAAAACCTTTATGGTTTAACTGTTTCAGCAGAGGAAATTCAACATTTGAGGTCTATCAGGACATCCATCAAAGAACACAAGAAATGACAAGAAAACAAAAATCAAGACAGACAAATCATAATCAGAGGCCGGGATTTCTTTTTCTGCTTTAGGAGAAAAGGAAAAAGGAAAAGGAAATGAACACTCAACGAGGACAGCGGATGGACGATATAGAGGGGGGGGGGGGGGGGGGGGTGAAAGGGAGAGAGCAAGTGGCTTGCACTCTCCTGATGATGTAGGGCTTTTATCTGCCATGGGCATCCGTGAAGGGAAAGCACAGGATGGGTCAGCAGCAGAGTCTCTACGGGCCTGCTGACAGACCTGGGGCAAAATAAAGACCCTGATTAAAGCTGGCCAGCTACGGGTGGAGGGACAGCTGGGGGAAGATGTATGGACAGACAAGCACACTAACACCAGAGCTAAACATAACCACAACGGCGCCATTAAAGCAGTAGTCAGGTGCTCAGATGGCAAGAAATGTATGCTGACCTCCATGGAAAGGTCCTTAGCAGATCCAGAACCAAAAATGGGTTTAAAATGACTCACAGATGACGCACTGATTGGAAAAACAGGTGTAAACACATTTATTGTACTTTTCTCCAGTGGAGAAATTGTTTGTCATAGTCCCTTGTTATGCTTTAAGGACGCAGCTGGAATTATTGAAAAATTAAATGGTCAACATTTTCTCTTTTTTTACAATTATTAATGCTCACTGTATTTTCTTTGTCCTCCATAAGAGTTCTCCATTAATAATGAAGTAAAATAATGAAGTAAAAAAGACATCTATATATGATCTATCAGTGCAGGACAGACAGTCTGACATCATGTCACTCTTGAATCCAGTTGTTTTGAGCTGTAAAAATGCTTTTTGTGAGTGTGGAAAAACACTTAAAAGGATAGTTCACTCAAAAAATTAAAGGTTCCAAACTGTATGAATGGAACAGATATCTTGAAAAATATCTCAGTGCATTTTTGCCCATACACTGAAAATCAATGGGGTCAAAGTTTTTTGAGCCTCAAACATTTTTCAAAATATCTTCTTTTGTGTTCCAGAGAAGAAATAAACCATACAGGTTTAGCACATGAATAATGAATAAAAGATTATTATTTTTGAGTGGACTATCCATTTAAGCAATGATTTAATATGTCCATAATTGACTTAGAATATCATTTAGTCATAAAAAAAATCTGATTTATCCAACTATCATGTAGTATATAAATTTTGTTATAATGGATTTGTGGTACCCTGTCCTCTACTGGCCACCAGTTGAAGGACATTATGACATGTATGATGCTTCCTATGTATATTGTGTTGTTATGGTACGTTACCTCCTGGGACAAACAAAATGTTTGACATGAAATGAAATTGGTTTAAAATGATGCTGATACAGAAACAAATCCATAAATAATACAATCATACAAAAGAATAAACAACAATATAATCAGCAAATAAAATGTGTACATCATAAATACCGCACTCTATAAAACTAGTGATTATCGAATCAAAAAGTCTACATTTATCAATCACATTCTTGTAGTGTCCATGAAACAGGAAACGGCCATGTGCGTTGATTGTCCCGCCACACAATTCAACCCAAAATGTATGAACTAACCAAACTGTGACCTTATTGCCCAATTTAGGTGTTCTTAAAGCAAATACCTTCTTTTGGTCATCTGCACGAGTTTCTGGAAGGCAGTAGAGTTACATTTGCATAATTCTGTGTTAACATTTCAGAATATTATATTGCACATTAAAGTTTCACATATGAAATAACAAAAACAGGAACAAAATCCCTAAACATTCACAGTATTCTTGGCCTAAAGCTTGAAATCAATGGCAAACATAGTCTGACTTTAACATACATTTTAAAACCTAAACTCTCCAAAAAGTGTCTTTTTCAAGCTAGAATCCCACCATGTTTTCTCACACCAAACATATAATCTCCAAGATCAGTCTCACTTGTTCCACTTTCATCCCTTTTCTCAGGTTCTTCACTTTAGTTAGAAGCAGACAAACCCCATCATAATGGACTTCCCGCTATAAGGACCCACAGTACAACAGGGATTGGATTCATTGGATGACACTAAAAATAGTGATATACAAGGGGAAAGCGTGGGGGGCCCACCAGGACAGAACTCAACACTCTCATTCCACCACCAGGAAAAGGAAACGTGGTCATGGCTGTGATGTCATCCTCTGAAATAGCTCTTCTGGATGCATGTCAAAGTCCTCCAAAGCCATTGTTCATTTTTCATAAGGCGTTAGTTCAAGGCGTCCAGTGATTTGACATCCCTTTTAAATGCAGTTATATGTATTAATATTACTGAAGTAAACAACGCATAAAACTGGTTGCAGAAACCCACTCCGGAAATTCCATCAGTCGATATATATCGTTCAGGCAACCTTTGTAAACAGGTTTGGTGACCATTCACCTATAAATGGACGCAAAATAGCTCTGGTCCAATAGGAGAAAGCCACAGAATGGGATCCAGAACCATCTCCAGAAGGTAATGGGCTTCAATAGCCAATGATATATGAAAAGGCTGATCGCTCTTCAATGAATCTTTGAGAGCCCATTGGCCAGAAGGAGTTTGAGGGGGATGGTTGAACGAGACACAGTCAGAGGCAGTCTGTGGAGACCTGGAGAAAGGAAACAGAAGAGTAAAGAACATTAGAGCGCTAAACCTAATCTAACAACCAGAAAAGGTAACTTTGGCGGGCGATGTTTGGGTTAAAAGCAAATCAATCAAAGAACAAAAGCCAGTAGGGGGAGTAACGAAAAAGAAATGCTATCTGAAGATGGTCTATGAGTGTGTGTTCACATTCAGCAGTGTTGTTTGTGTTGGGCGGAGGGCGATGGGTGTGTGTCTTCCAGAAGGAGTTTGACGCCCTGAGGTCCCCAAGGAACGCCGCTTCACCCCTTCTGTCCCCTCTCACTTTCCTGAGAGAATTGTGCTTTTTCTATCTGAGGAAAGAGACCTACCCATAGAGAAACATGGCCTGTGTGAGGAACACCTCACCCAAAGACTAACTACAAACACTGGCAAATGGCAGCATAGTGCACACCCCTTGTCCTTTCAAGATACAATGTGTACATGCACAAATCTTTCTCCTTGCACGTTTTCCTTGAGATAAAATGTTAGAATTAACCGTTAAAAAAGGTCAAAACAAGTTAAGGTCTATATACAACATATGTGGTGTCATGTTGGAAATAAAAGGCATTAAAGTCCAAATCCAAAAGAGTTATATGTATTATATAGTGTTTTACAAAAAAATAAGTTTACATACATGCATACCACACATACAGAACCATTCTTACAGAACATAAGAAGATGTAGTCAACAAAAACTTAATTAACCCAGAATATGTTTTATATTTATGATTCTTCAAAGTAGACAGCTTTTGCTTTGATGACAGCTTTGCACACTCTTGGCATTCTCAGTCAGCCTCAAGAGGTAGTCACCTGGAATAGTTTTCCAACAATCTTGAAGGAGTTCCCAGAGGTGTTGAGTACTTGTTGGCTGCTTTTCCTTCACTCTCTGGTCCAACTCATCCCAAACCATCTCAACTGGATTTAGATCAGGTGATTATGGATGCCAGGTCATCTGATGCAGCACTCCATCACACTCCTTCTTGGACAAATAGCTCTTACATAACCTAGAGGTGTGTTTGGGGTCATTGTCCTGTTGGAAAACAAATGACGGCCCCACTAAGTGCAAACCAGATGGGATGGCATGTCGCGGAAAAATGCTGTGGTAGCCATGCTGGTTAAGTCACCAACAGTGTCACCAGCAAAGCATCCCCACACAATCACACCCCCTCCTCCATGCTTCACAGTGGGAACCACACATTCTGGAACCATCCGTTTACCCTCTCTACTTCTAACAAAGACACGGCAGTTAGAACCCAAAATCTCCAATCTCATCAGACCAAAGAACAGTTTTACACTGATCTAATGTCAAGTCAAGTCAAGTCAAGTATATTTATATAGCGCTTTTCACAATCAAGTTTGTATCAAAGCTGCTTCACAGTATCGATCAAAACAACTTAACAGTGTTTGTTTATTACTGAAAAAAGACATCCAAGTTTGGTAGAGCTGATCAGTGGTATGATGGGTCATTTAATTTGAATATCCCCAACTGAGCAAGCCAAAGGCAACAGTGGCAAGGAACCGAAAAACTCCATCAAGTGACCCGATGGTGTCCTAAAACTCCATCAGATGACCCAATGGAGAAAAAAAAACCTTGGGAGAACCCAGGCTCAGTCGGGGCCAGTTCTCCTCTGGCGTTTATGAAGTAGAGGCTGAATTTACAGTAACTGTAAGATAAAAAATGTATATGAATGCCTGGCTAAATAGATGCGTCTTTAGTCTAGTTTTAAACTGGGAGAACGAGTCTGAGCAACGAACAATATCAGGAAGGCTATTCCAGAGCTTCGGAGCTAAATGTGAAAACGCTCTCCCTCCTAATGTCCATTCTTTGTGTTTCTTGGCCACTGATCTATATAGAGAACTGGATTGCTCATGATGTTAAAAGTGAAGCCACCACGCTGCCATATTGGTATTCCCTAGTATTTCCTTACATTCTATTAAATTAACAGGAAATCATCTAATCCCAGATATATGTTCAAGGTTAATATTCCCTGCATAATTATGTACATAGACTATTTTGATAAACATACATTTAGATCTATTTTGAGATAGTTTAGTTATGTGTCGGCAGTGTGATGTAGACACACCCATCTTAACGATTACAATCGCTTATACTGCCCGTAAACATTAAAGATAACAGTCGAAGTATCCATTAATGTACATACATATATCTTAAAAACTATTCATGTGCGATTGATACACTCCAAATCAGGTGATTTTTGGTCGATGTTTTGGCTGTAAGTTAATGATGCACTCTGTCGGTAGGGAATGGCAAGATGGCCGCTCGAACACTTCTGGTGGCTTCACCACCTGCTGGCAGTTTAGAACGCAATGAGCAATCCAGTCATTATACAAATCAGTGTTTCTTGGCCCAAGCAAGTCTCTTCTGCTTGTTGTTCTTCCAAAGTAATGGTTTCTTTGCCATTATTTGACCATGAAGGCCTGACTCTCACAGTCTCCTCTGAACAGTGGATGTTGAAATATGTCTGCCACTTCAACTCTGAGAAGCATTTGGCAAATTGGCGGTTTCTGAGGCTGGTAATTTTTATAAACTTATTCTCTGCAGTAGAGGTAGCTCTTGGTCCTTTCCTGGGATTCTCCTCATGAGAGCCAGTTTCATCGTAGCGTTTGACGGTTTTGGCGACTGCACTTGGGGATACATTCAAAGTTCTTGAGATTTTTCTGACTGACTGACCTTCATTTCTTAAAATAATGATGGACTGTCTTTTTTTTCTTTACTGAACTGAGTGTTTCTTGCCATAATATAGATTTGTACAGTAGTTGTAGTAACATTAATTTGGCTATTGACTCTGTACCCGCTTTTCCTCTGCACAAGACAACTGATGGTCTAAATCACATTAAAGGTGAACTATGCAGGTTGTTTACCTCAATCGAACAGCTTCGGAGTCATTGGAAAGGTTATATTACTCTTTTCGGGTTGAATGGTGGTCGTTTCGCACCCCCCTATCGCATGTGAGCGGAAAAAAACACACTTGCAACTTTGAGCCGGCGGGACGTGTCAGGACGCATCAGGAAGTGTCGCGTGATATCAGGTCTCGCGATGTAACGAATTGCTTTACGGCAAAAAAGATCTGATAAAATTCTGATAAAATAAGCATCAAACAGAAATAACCCGGCGCCGTATACATGTGGTGTTCGAGGCGCACATACAATACAGACTGCCGACAGTTAAACTCTTAAAGTTTAACTTTAAGAGTTAAACTCTGTTAAACTCTGTGCAGCTCTTAAAGGGGCCACACCTTATTTCAACTCGTTACAGCTTCCATCCTACTGAACAGGTACCGGTGTACAGGGGGAGGGGATCAGGCCGTGAGTGCAGAGCCATCTCTGCGTGAGTGCTATTTACGACAGTACAAGTACTCCACAGCGACTCTAGGGGTCGCTGTTTGACAAAAACAGAATTCCTGCATAGTGCACCTTTAAGAAGGACTGTCACAAATGAACTCTTGACAAGGCACATCTGTGAATTAAAAACCATTCCAGGTGACTACCTCGTGAATCTGATGAGAGAATGCTATGAGTGTGCCAAGCTGTCATCAAAGCTAAATGTAGCTGCTTTGGCCAATCTAAAATATAAAACATATTCTGGGTTGTTTAACACTTTTTTGATTACTACATAATTCCATACGTGTTCATTCATAGTTTGGATGTCTTCAGTATTTATGTACAATAATATTAATGTACAACAGTATTAATGTACAAAAAAAAAAAAAAAGTACAAAATAATAAAAAAAAATAAAGAAAAACCACTGGAGAAGGTGTGTCCAAACATTTGACTGGTAGTGTATTTTCCACAGAATATTTCAAAAGAATAAAAGCATCTTCAAAATAGTGTGGTAAATAAATAATAAAAAATTATCACAGGGATCTTCCCCCAAAACTAAAACTAAATAGACAAGTAAAAATATAAAAGACTAACCAAAGGCACGGATGAGTTCTCGTTGCAAGGCCCATGTGACTGTGTTGATGAGGCAGGCGGATGTGAGTCCAGCAAAAAGCATATTGTACAGGAAAACAATGTGGAAACTGCCGAGCCAGTTAAACCGTCCAAAGTCTCCAAGCAGATCAAACCTTGTAATTCCTACATGTAGTTACATGAAAAAGAGGAAAATTATAAAGTATTAATTCAAATTGTAATACACAATGGACACATATTGCTGAATTATTGCTAACTAATGCCATCTTGTGGACAGACAAAAGATTACAAATTAAACTTGTTATTCATGAAGTTTGACATGGCCCTCAAGAGTCCTTTTATTAACTATTTTCACTAATATGAATATGCTTTGAACCGCCAATAAATGTGTAGTACACTCAGCTACATTTAGCAGTTTAAATTCATTCATAATAATTTAGCCGATTTTTCTCTAAAATCAGCAAAAAAATATGCAAATTGTGTCTTGGCCTACAACAGACCTCAAAATCATGCTGCCATTAAATAACATTTTACATATAAAAACATTAAATAATGACTAATAATTGTAAAATACTTACCCAATGTGCGGGAGAAAACAGGCAGGGCTGAACTGAGTATTAAAAGAGAAACACAGTTCCCTATAATCTGTGGAGAGATGTAAAAAAATCTATTTAACTATAAAGAGCAACAGCATCTGAATGCGAGATATCCAGCACTATTTCTACTGTTGTTTCATGACGAGTATAGGAGATCTCTGTACCTGTGTGAGGGTAGTGTCCTGTGCACGTGGCAGCAAACCGGTGAACAGTGGAGAGCTGTAGAAGCCAACGACAGAGGAGACCATGAGATACAGGATGATGACCACCTGCACTGCAGCTCCCAGAGAACCGAACATTGAGAACGAGGCAAGCCCCAAGTGAGGGTCCTGCAACAGAGAAAGCCAACTATTGTGAGATTATGATCATTAATGATTGCTGCACTTCTTTTGTTTTGTGGAATGAAAAAAAAAAGCAGAATATGGTAGAAGGACATTAGAGTACGGTAAATAAAATTCTCTTAAAAATTTTTTTCCATGAATTACATTTACAGGTCCATATATGAATCCCATTGTCATGTATCTCACCTCCATCCCTCTAGGCATAGCAGATTCATCAAAGAGCAGTTCCAGCACATGGAAACAGACCATCAGCACACACACCGCCTGAGAAACACCATACATTTTGTTTTAGCACAATGGTTTAATCGTAGCCAGTATAAGTATTTTGAATTCCATAAGGTTTACTCTTACAGTCAAAGCTAAAAGTAGCAGCATGGCCACTGGGTATCCCAGGTTGCGTTGCCATGGAGATACTCTCTTCCTCATCTCTAAATGGAAGAAATAAGGATGAAAAGCAATTCATGATAGTTCAATTATCAATGTATTTAACCGTTTGACAGGCGTGTTCGTACCTAGAGCAATACGTTTGGACTTCACACTCAAATATTCCTTGTTGATGGCCTCTACGTTTGCACTGATCCAACAGGAGGTGTTACCTAAAACATCAGATAGAGAGAGAGAGAGAGAGAGAGAGAGAGAGAGAGAGAGAGAGAGAGAGAGAGAGAGAGAGAGAGAGAGAGAGAGAGAGAGAGAGAGAGAGAGAGAGAGAGAGAGAGAGAGAGAGAGAGAGAGAGAGAGAGAGAGAGAGAGAGAGAGAGAGAGAGAGAGAGAGAGAGAGTATTTATAAGTTTAGGAAACCATGTTTTGGCAATGTAAATCCTTGTTCATAATGCCAGAAAAAACTGCTTTAGACAATAAAAAAGAAAATGAGAGAAAGAAAGAGAAATCTTTATAAGGTGGGCCCACTTCCTTAACAGCAGCCAGTTTGTCTCTCACATCCTGACACTCACTTTTCAACTTCCTGGAAAGAGAGGCCTCTTCAAAATGTGTACAGTTCATTGCTTCTTCCAAGTTCTCCAACAACTAAAAAAAAAAAGAGAAGACTTAACTTCACACACTTCTAATTTCTCTTTAAATATATGCACTATAATTTAAAAGTTTAGGGGTTTTATTTTTTATTTTGTTTGAAAGATTAATACTTTTATTCAGCAAGGATGCATTAAATTAGTTCAAAGTGACAGTAAAGACATTTAATATTACAAAATATCACAGTATCAAATAAATGCTATTCTTTTAAAATTTCTATTCATCCAAGAATCACAGTAGTTTAGTAAGTAAGTAAATTTTATTTATAAAGCACATTTAACCATAGCGAAGCTATCCAAAGTGCTGAACAAAGTAATGTAAAATCAATAAATAAAAACACAAAGTTTACATAAAAATATTAAGTAAGCAGCACAACTGTTTTTAACATTGATAAAAAGGAGTTCATTTAGCGCCAAATCAGCATATTATAATGATTTCTGAAGGATCATGTGACACTGAATTACAGTTATATTATATACAAAATATATTAAAATAGAAAACGAACTTATATATATATATATGTAAATGTGTGTGTATATATATACACACACACACACATTTACACACACACATATATATATATATAACAGTTATCTTGTCCACCTACCCGAGGTTTGACCAATAAGCTCCCAGTGACGCTAAACATACGTGAAAGACCCAGAGGTGTGCACACTGTTACAAGACAAAAAAGGCAACAAATCTATATATGAGAAGTCAAAAGCAATGAAATACCAAACTACATGTTAATCATCAAATGATTAAAATTAAAAAAAAAAAAATTTATATACAAATACATATTCACTTACACAAAAGCAGCAGAACTCCAAAAAGTGAGATTCCAGAATAGAGATAGGGCAGGTAATATTCCCACAGGTCTGAAAAACACAAGAAAAAGAGCAGAATATTACAAAACCTTTATCTTGCTCTTATGCAATTAAAAGGAAATGTGGGAGTCTATCTGGCATTAAAAACTGTGATGTGTGAAGGAGGTATGGCGCTCCCAAATCTTAAGGAATATTTTCATGCAGCACAACTTAGACCTTTAGTCTGCTGGTGTGCTAAGGATTACGAGGCTAAATGGAAAATTCTAGAGCAGTATGTACAAGGGAGGGAAATTCAAAGTCTTATTGGGGATGAAGGGGAAGCTAAGGATTTATTTAAACAGATAGATGCTATCACCCAGTTTTCATTAAAATTGTGGTTCAGCATAATACGAAAATATAAATTAGAGGCAGATCTCCCTCTACTTAGATGGATAGCTTATGACAGACACTTCACCCCGAATACTCTTGACCAGAGATTCCAACAATGTAGACTGAATGGAATAACAGCACTGTGTACAGTAATGAAGGACGGGAATTTTATGAGTTTTGAAGAGATGAAACAAAACTTTACATTATACAATCAGGATCATTTCAGATACTTACAATTAAGGGATTTTTATATGAAGGAAGTAAAACCAAAAGTAAATCTGGGGGAAAACGGTATAATTAGAACTATAATAGGAATATACAACTCAAGGAAATACAGAATAATATCTACATTATACCAGCAACTGATGGAGAGGAAGGGAAATACAACGTCATATGTCAAGCAGAAGTGGGAAAAAGAGCTAGGTATGAATATATCTGAAGAAGACTGGTTACATATATGGAATACACAACAATCTACCACATCGTCTCGTATATGGAGGGAATTCTGTTGGAAAAATGTAATACGATTTTTCATTACACCTAAAATTAAGAGCAAATTTTTGTCAGTACCACAACCATGTTGGAGACAGTGTGGAGCGGTAAATGTAAACCATTCACATGTCTTTTGGCTCTGTCCTGTTATTACACAGTTTTGGGAGGATGTCCACTTGGTTATTGTTGAAATCTTGGGTTATGATATACCCAAGTCATGTTCAGTGCTGTATTTTGGTAATATGAAAAGAAACATTGTGTCAAGAGAAGACCGATACCTGTTTAAAATTTTGTTAGCAGCATGTAAAAAGGCCATTACGAAAAGATGGTACAAGCCGGACCCCCCAACACAAGATGAATGGCTGAAACTAGTGTCTGAAATAAGTGTAATGGAATGGTTGACTCATAAGATAAGAGTTCAAGAGGATCAATGCACAAATAATTGGGGAAAATGGACTGTATTTACATCCCAACGACAAGAAGAGGTCTGAAGTTGATGTATCTCATTCACTAAATTGTAATGTTAGGTGATCCAGATTGTTCTTTTTTTTTTTTTCGTTGGTTTGTGTTTGTTTGTTTTACTAATTATAATTTTTGTATATATGTGATGAAACTATAAAAAATAAAGTATAAAAAAAAAAAACTGTGATGTGATCCATTCAATCAAAGATACTGAACAAGTGCAGCACATAGTCTCTGAGCCATTCCACCGAAAGGGTGACATTTCTGTCCCCAGGACATTATATGTATAAAATTGCATGAAAATTAACTCTAAAATACATTTTATTATTAAGCAAAATGTCATGCATATTAAGCTAACTACAAATTTAAAATGTATAATTAAAAAAATTAATACAAACTGCATAGAACACTAAAAAATAGCATTTTCTGCATGTCCCCACTCTCTATCTCTAAACTTTACCATGAAATATAATGATTAAAATACTTCAGAAATCTGATTTCTTTTGCATTGTTGTGTAACTTTATATCCAATCTGCTTTACAATTAAAGAGAATTAAATTTTAAAATTAAATTTTTTAGATAAAATACATATTTTAGTCATGTCCCCGGGTTTACACTCAGTCCTGTTACCCTATTACATCCCGCCTCTGAAAAACGTAGAATATTCCACAAGACACATTTTCAACAGTAAGTTGCATCATTTGGATCTTCTGAAGGCAATGGGGCGACCATAAGTAAGTCCTCTCATTTTAATTTCTGTATATTTGATGAAATTGTAACTATGACTGAGAAGGTCAATCTCAACATACGGTCCTGTTACCTAAACTTTTTCTTAGATTTACATTTTTTATTTTAAAAATATTAACTTTTGGTAAGGCACTAGAAATGGCTCAGTGTCCTCATGTTATTAGCATCTATGCTATGTGGCCATATGCATGTATTTGATAACTTTTTGCTTAAAAACTCAATCCTGTTACTTTCAGTCCTGTTACTATTTTTTTCTTTTTCTAAAATATAAATTAAACCACTATTTTTATCAGTTTTGTTTGGCCCATAATTTATACAATTATTTAATAAATTAAAATATATATATATATATATATAAACTTGAGGCTTCGGTCTTATTTAAAATGAAAAAATGGCTTTGTGTTTTTTTATTAAAATACACCTTGCCTTAATAGTGATTTTATTGTAACAAATATCAATTTTTTGAACATATAACCAACAATTTCGTTAAAATAAACACTTTCTTGTGGGGAAAACAAAGGAATTAATTGACATGCTTTTAAACTTGCTTTTTAAATGGGACATGATTTTCGGTAACAGGATTGAGAAAACATGCGCCCATCTTCTGCTTAAACCTTGTAAAAAATAAATAAAGTTGCCTGAGATTGACCAATACACATTTTGAATAGTTAAATATGTGTAGTATTAGATTCAATGTTGAAAAAGATAAAAAATAAAGTTTAATTTTGAAGAGTTACAACAAGCAAATGTCACCCATTCGGTGGAATGGCCCCTCTAATGTTGCATTGCTGCCCTTACCGTAAAGACTCTCACGGGCGGTGCTGTGATGGAGAAGAGCTGATGCCACCCACACAATGCCCAGCACCAACAGACTGAGGAGAAGCAGCATCACTGCAGTCTCATACACCCGTGCCATAACGCCCTTTCAGAGGAAAACACAACAACTGAACAAATACAGATCTGAATTCAGATCCTATAGAGATGTGTTTACTGTTAAACTAATTACATCATTTTACCTTTTTGGACCCAGCAAATCCTTCTGATTCAGTAAAGAAGTAGGCGAATGGCATTAGGAAGACCAGAGAGAGGTTTGAGAATAAGAAGACTAGGTTCCACAAGCCTGAAACAGAGACAGAAGGAGAATGAGTGATTAATTGAAAGATGATTTTGTACTCTTCCCATATTAAAAAGCAAAAACCCCAAACTTGCATGATAACATTTGTCTGAACACTACTGTTCAAACGCTCTGGGTCTCCACAAAAATATTAAGCAGGACAAATGTTTTAACCAGTGCTAATAATAAAAATGTTTCTTGAGGACCAAATCAGCATATTAGACTGATATCTGAAGGATCATGTGACACTGAAGCTGAAAAAATCAGCTTTTCCATCACAGGAATAAATTACATTCTAAACAGTAGTACACATCAACAATATTTAACCATGTATGTATAATATTTTGTGCTCAGAAGAACTACCAGGTTATTTGGAGGAATACAAAGAATATAGTACACTTACAGACCACTAGGGGGCAACCATGTGCAGTTAATGAGATCTGGTGTTACACGTGCACTATAGAACAGCATTTCACCAAATGCGGGCAAACTGAATAAATCTGGATTTTCAACTAAATTGTGGCCTTGGATTTACAGCCAGAACATCTCATACTCTTAGCAGACTCACTACCATGCCCAACACGTGCTAACACAGAGCTGTAAGACTTATTAGTTTGTGTTCCCACACTAAGTCCTTGTGGGAATAAAAACATTACCATTTCAGTTCAGATTGTGTGACAAAATACTGCTTGAGAACCTAATGAAGTTGTAATTAGTATATTGATAACTCTATTGACTTTTTGTAAACCGATATGGTAAACACATAATCCAAGTGTGCAAAGCAAACGTAGTTTTTCATTAGTGCGTGTGTTTGTACCGTGGATGAGCGAGCCATTGAGCCACTGCATGTAGTAGCTGTGTGGGAATGTGAGCAGAACCTCATTGGACAGGATAGAGATGGGCAGAAGCAGCACTGCACACACGGCCACTGAGAGTGTGAATGTACACAGCCACAGCCTGCGGAGTGAGAAAAACAATCAAAGAAGGGCGAGGAAATGTTTTTGCAGCCATTTACTTTGACATAGTGCCAGCTGTGAAGGGAGGAGGATGTTAAACGCCACTCTGGAGACCAAAGGGCAATTTGTTCACTTACAATCATTCAGGGCAAACTAATAAAAAAAACAAAATACTAACCAGCAGCGTGTCCTTTACTTAAAGTCAGAGTGAATTACTGTGCAATGCACCATTTTACTGCCATAATGTGACATTTCTGAGTGAAATGAGATATATAATTACTGAAGTAAGGTGGGAGCTGATTTTATGCATTTGGAATTTATTGAATGTTAAAAATGGGAGCCAGACTGAATTTGAGCTTGCTGAAATAATGGCTAAATAAATTTCTAGCTATTATGGTGCATTATCCAACAGTAATGTGGCAAATAATAAGAAATTAAATTTCCATGTAACGTTGATCCTTTACTTAAAGGGATAGTCCACTCAAAAATGATTTTACTCACCCTCAAGTTGTTCCAAATCCGTATGAATTTCTTTCTTCGGCTGAACACAAAAGAAGATATTTTGACGGAAATAAAAAAAATACTATGAAAGTCAAAGGGGTCCATTAACTGTTTGGTTTCCAACATTCTTCGAAAGAACTTCTTTTGTGTTCAGCTGAAGAAAGAAATTCATACATGTTTGGAACAACTTGAGGCTAAGTAAATGATGACAGAATTTTCATTTTTGGGTGAACTATCTCCTTTATTCCCCCTTTTCTTGTGGTTCTTTAAATACTGATTACTTACGCAATTTTGTTGACAGTGGCATCCTCAATGTCATCTGTGGGCAAAAAAAGGAAAAGGAAATAAGTTTCTGTCCACAACACTATCCCACTGCAGACATATTGATGACTAGACTCACAAGTTCAACCTTGAAACTAAATTGAACAAAATAACAAGATCCCAGAAGGACCCAGATTCATTATGAAGCTATTCCATAAAGGAAACAAAAATGTATTTGAACATTTTTGGGAAGCCATCGCCGTTTTATCGTTCATTATTGCACGTGCAGGAGAACAATATCCATTTAAAGAGGAATTTGTCGCAATCACAGGGACTGATTGAGAACATGAGGCAGAGAGAATGAAAAATAAACCTCAAACATGCTCCTGCGAGAAAAGCAAAACATGCCCAGTGTGTGACAGAGCTCCAGGGTAGATATGTGTGACATTTCCTGGGAGAGCCCTAAACCTAATGCAGAACAGGTTTTCTGCACATATCCTTCAAAACAACCAATATGCAACTGAAGAAACAACTTTAGCCCTCCACGACTGGTGCACGTTTAGTCTATGAAATGGACTGAGTTATAGAGGTGTTAAAAATACACAAAAATTGAGCAACAAATCTTGTGCAGTGATTTTGTTTGTGTTCCTAAATTAGAATATGTATCATAACGATAAAGGTTTGGCTGGAAGTACACAATGTTCCCTGTGTCTAACACAAGACATTTTCTTATGTTCCTCTGCACTATTGATCATGTAAAAGTGCTAGCCGATCGTTTTTACAGACTGCCATGACACAGGAGCTGCTGTGCTCACGGGGACCCAGATTCAAGACCGAACCAATTTCTCCTGTCTCTCCTTACACTTTCCTTTCCAGTCTACTCTGACCTATATAATTATTAACTTGCATAATTTAACAAATTGTAAAACAATTCTTCAACCATCTAGCAGTCTGGCTAATAGTTATGTACACAATGTTCCCCCTAGTATGTCTAACACAGGACATGTTCTTACTTTCCTCTGCACTATTTTTACATTTTTGATCATGTAAGCATGTGGTAGATGGACATTTTTAAAGGTTGCACTGACACAGGAGCAGCTGTGCTTACAGGACCCCAGGTTCAAATTCGAAATGATTTCCCTAGTCTCTCCCTACACTTTCCTCTCCACTGATAGGAGACAATTATAAAAGGTATCAAAAAAATTACCAATGCAAACAATCTGTTTGAGACCCCTGAATTCTGTTCCACTGTACCTAGCTGTCATAGATCAATAAATGGAACAATGTAAAAAGCCAATAAATAAATTATAAAATGTATTACATTAAAAATATTTCAACACCCCTGCATTCTGTTCTGCTGTACCTGTTTTTGAACAACAAGAATGCATCCTGTGTGCGCGGCTCCTAACAATTCTCCAACAGTCTAAACAAGCCTGATGTGTTTTAAACATGTCAGGCATGAGAAAACAATCCCTCAGATTTTCCACTGAGAGCAGGTTTAGCCGAACCAGGAGAGAGCGGAGAGTTAAATTAAAGGGGTGTACACCAAAACATGAAGTAGAGTTCTCCTATGGAGCCTCAAGCAGTGCTCGGGCAGGGGGCCTATGTTTATCTCGCGGGAACATTCCTCATCCACACTGCTGCCCTCCCTCAACGTTACATTACTGCTGTCGACAGCAATCAGAAACTTTGACTTCTATTCTGAAGATGATTTCATTTTCACAGCTAAAGAACACCAAAACTATTAATCAAATAACAGAGGGAATACAGTAGTAGTTCACTATCTGAAAATTATTAGGTAAGCATTTTGGGAAAATGCAGGAGAATGACCATGTCAGGTCGTGCTGACCAACAAATAGTCAAGTGTGTGTAGACTAGAAATGTTGTTCAGCTCACAGAGCAGCTGCAGTAAATCACAGGTGTGCTTTGGAGGACTGTAATACATTAAACCAAACAAGTGCTGTGGGTCCTGGGTGTCACATTTAACTTACCGGCGACAAACTCGGCATTCTTCTTGAAGTGAGTGAGAATGAAGTGTGACAAGATGTACAGGCAAATGAAAAGCAGCACGCAAATCTAAAGCAGAAAAAAAAAGAAGAAAATCAGTGCAATTTGAAAACATGAAATTTGAAACATTTACAAATACACTGAAGCTTGTCTTTGAAGAAGTCTGAATATTTCACATCAGAAGGGGGGGAAATGGTCTGAAGCTGGAACATACAGTTGTAATCGAAATTATTCAACCCCCATTGCAAATCAGGTTTATTGGCAAAATTGACAGACTTTCAGCTGTTTGCAATGAAAAAAAAAATCAAACAAAAGTAATTGAAATAGCTCAACAAATGTTTCAAGTGGTTTCCCCAAATTCAAAAGAAAAAGCTACTTTTAATGACTTCTGCAGAGTCACCACCATGTTAATATTGTGTTATGCTATTTCAATTACTTTTGTTTGATTCTGAAAGTCTGCAAATAAACCTGATTTGCAATGGGGTTGAATAATTTTGATTACAACTGTAACTGAAGGTGCTAGTTTATAAGCACATTTTATTCTAAATGAAAATTGTATTTTCTTCTTGTCAGCTCGCTTTTTTTTCACAAAGCTAACTTTTCCAGTCCCTTTTTTGTCCTTTTAGGAACTAAGATCCCCTCCCTTTGCCTGCACCCAATGTCATTATACACTCTCAGGTAACATATTTGTACCAAAAGTGTACATATTAGTGCTTAAATTGTATGTTAGAACCTTTTTAAAAAGTACACACGTCCCAGTGACAGCTTTTGTACATTTTTTTTAACCAATGTGAACATTCTTCAAAACGTTTCCTTTTATGTTCCACAATGGAACAATCACAATCTTTCTTAGAATATTGGGTGTAAATGCCACTTTGCAGAGTATCAGAGATTACATACATTCTCACAGGCATCTGCAGTATGAGTCATGCAGTTAATATGAGCAATATAGTCGTGAACAGGCAGCTACAAGACGTGCTATGCAAACGCACTGCTTAGATGTGTTGCCTGCCAATTTACGTTATCAAGAACACGTTAGGCAGAGAGCCTGTGATGGAGCAGAGGTCATGAGACACACCAACATAGCCCCATTATCACTGATACATTACACGCTGCTGTGCACAGTCCAGAATTGTCTTTATAGCTCTGTGACATAAGAACTCCTAATCAAGGACATTTGGTTCTTAATGATTAGACTAGACCAGTCAAAGATGTTATAGGTCTAGATTTCGTATTATTGATAAAGATAATAGGAAGAAAATGGTATAGCAGTGATAAACAAACTGCTGTGTCCTAGAATGTAAAAGCAATAGAAAGTGAATCAATAGGTAGAGTGTCCCTTTTTTTTTAAAGCCAGCTGTCCCCTTTCTGAGGAATCTGAATTCTTAATTAATGAACACCCAATACAGATTTAAAAATAAGGGTAACAGCACCAGATCGAGGATGAAGATTACAGCTCAAATGCAAATGAAGATTTAAACCATGCAGTTACAACTGGGATTAGATTACAGTAAAGATTGGTAAAATGTAGAGATTTACCAGAAGATAACATACAGTAGAGATGCAAGTAGAAAAAAACAGTAGAAAAAAAGTCAATGCATGACTCTACCCAAGTTCCCATTCTCATCCTGCAGTGGGATCTGTCCACATGACAATAACCTTCTAATTCCATGATTAACCTCTAACCTAATTTCAGATATAAGATCCTCATGTGTATGCAATTCGTTTGAGAAACATAAGACCTGATGATTATAACTAAACTTATAAGTGAACTAAACATTCTGAAGCACTGTATGTCCCATAAAAGAGAAGAAGAATGACAGCAAGAGGAAGAGGGATAAGGGAGGGGACAGGAAGCTGGGATTTTGTCTTCAAAGTGCCAACAGCAGGGAAAACAATGGATGGATCTGTGGGATATATATCTCTGGAGCTTTGAAAGGTGTTCTCACTCATCTGTGCTCAGCATTTGAATAGTTTGTCTCCTTTGACTAAGACAGCATGCACTGAACCAGAGTTGAAACAGCCAAGCTAAACTACAGAATGTGTTAAAACTGAAACAAAAGATTGCCTAACACAGTTGAATACAACATGAGAATACATGTCTGGTCTCATTGTATTACCAGTCAAAGAAATTTTGCAAAATACTTCAGGTTTTTTTTTGTCTACACTATTGAAGCCATTGGGCTTAAAACAACACTGGCCTCAACTGAAAAAAACAGTTCTTTAAAATATCTTTTGTGTTCCACAGAAGAAGAAAAAAAACTTCACACAGGTGGAACGTCATCAGGGAGGGTAAATGACGACAGAAATTTCATTGTTTGGTGCACTATCCCCTTTAAATCCTTTCAAACAACCACAAGGGTGGACAATGACAACATTTGATAATACCCTGTCTGTCGTAGGTCATTAAACAGAAAGAAAGTTTGCCTTAACTAATATGCAGGCAATGGTGGGCATGTTTTCAAACCTCTTCATCAATTTGGGTCAATGGTATTGAGACTGGCCACAAAATGTGAGCGTACTCGTAGTATCAACCAGCAACCAGTGTATTTGCTGACCGATTTGGCAGGGCTGGTTAAACGGCCGAGCTCAAACATTTTGAATCTTAGGGCTCACTCTGAATAATCCTCGGCGCACAATACAAGACCTGGAACGAAGCCCAAGTTATTCCTTGAAGTGAAAGCCTATTTAACAAAACAGTCAGCTATAGAGCGACCGCGAACTGACACAATGAGAAAACAACACTCATGGTGTGCTGGGATAGGTTGGCAAAAGGACAGACATATAGGACAAAAACACTAATAACCGGGCCGTTAAGGAGGCGAATATTTAGACCAGTGTCAGAAACTTTATGCTTTTTAAAAATGTTAGTTGGCCCCTAAAATTTATTTTCACAGTGTTTTTATTACATTTATGATATACAAACAACACAGTGTGTTATTCATTTATGACAAGCAAATCAAATAAATCAAGTAATTTATGCCAAATTACATACATTTTCAATCTGAACAATTGTAACTTCAAATTAAAATCAAACACAAAATCAGTTATATATAAATGAACAATATATCATAACATACTACAGTGTATTCTCAGGTACTAACCTCATTACTAGATAGAATTATAGTAGAACATTTAGAAAATGCAAGACTCAAGTTTGTTTTCATGAGTAATAAATAATAATACAAGTCCAAATATATTCGTAATAAATACTATTAACCTCTGCAGACGTAAATACAAAAGGCCCTCTATTGTTGAAGGCAAACGGCATGTTCAGATACGCACCTTAATAAAGTCTATTACACGCACACTGCATTCCTTGCACATCTACATAATGGGAACCATTCCAAATCAGCTACTCCCTCTAACAGGTTGGCTCTCTTGAAAATCAACCAAGTACAAACTGAGCCATTGTCATACATTTTGTGTTGCTTTACAAGTGGGAATTCAATACTTCTGAGTTCCACCCAAGAATCCACCAACAAAAAAGTTATCATCTGACATATTAAATCCAAGTGCATTCTTAGTTTAATTTAGCTTCTAATTTAAATTAAATTAATTTTATTTAGGTGGTAACAACTTGTGGTAACAATTGTTTGATATTAGTGTAAATAAATATCCGGAAATACAGTAATGATGCTGGAAATTCAGCTTTGCCATCATGGGAATACATAATGTATATTTGAATGCATTTTAAAATAGTAAACTTTCATTTTAAAATCTAATGATATTTCGGTTTAATTTGGCTCTTTTTGATTAAATAAATGCAGTCTTGATGAGCATAAGAAAGTCTTCAAAATTCACACATTATTTAAATCAGTTGTTCTCCTCAAACTAGTTTCACTTCAAAATTCAGATTTTTGATTGGGCATTAAAAGGTGACCCAACACAGGACATAAACTGATTTTCACACAAAAGCAAGAAAAAGAACTTCATTGGAATTACATTGAACTATAGGCTATAGCATGGAAAAGAAAACTGAAAACAAAAAACTGTCAAAAAGTATTTATATATATATATATATATATATATATATATATATATATATATATATATATATATATATATATATATATATATATATATATATATATATATATATATATATATAGGTGATTTATCTGCATAAAGTGAGGAAACACAGAGTCAAATATTCTATTGGTAGTGTAGTAGTCATATTACTGAGTGACAGCCTGACTTTACGCACAATCTTTGACGTCAACAACAAAACATATGTGAAGCATTTTCTCCACCAATATTCAAAGTTGAATTGATATTTTGCTACCTAGTAACAACAAACAACTATGATTAGTTGCATTTTAGTATTTTTAGTTTATATTTAGTATATTTATTATTTATTTTCCCTGTAATCCGTGATCCTATCAGAACAGATCGCAGATGCATTTTTGGGTCAAAAAACCCACAAGTTAAATCACTGATTTAAATTATAAATCCCAGATAAGCCTCGGTGACCAAGGGATCAATAACCATGACAGCATGAGCTCGGTGGTGGTGCCCAAGGCCTGGGGCAGGACAATAGTAAAAACAATTTACAATAGTGTGATCCATCTGTGCATTTCACTAAGAGGGGCATTTCATTTTTTAGGAGGATTACAGAAGCTTTGCATCACAGAAGCAGAAAAGGAACGAAGTGTGTATACCGGTAAATAAAAGTGAATGCCCTTAAAATATCTGAAAACAGACTTTAAAGAGCAGCTTGTTTGTGTAGAAAAACAAAGCATGAAGGCAATAATGTACAACAGCTCCAACAAGATTAGAACTAATTCTGAACTGATGTTACAGAACACTGGATTTAGTTCTAAGAGGTTAGTTTTTGCAGCTAGTGAATTACATAATCTGAAAGATGAGTCGTTTAAAAATATTTTGCACCAAACTGTTTGTTTAAAATGCTGAGTAAGATACATCATTGTGAAGGAGTAAAGGTTAACCCCCAGTGTCTTGCTGTAAGGTCCTTGAGGTCTGAAGTTCAGTTATACTCTTTATTAGGTGTTGACAAAGACATTTTCATGCACCAGGGTGCCAAAAACTCAGCTGTTGTTCTCCAAAATGAGCTCCAGATCTCACAAAGCGGAGAAGGCTCATATTGTGCCATTTAAAGACTGTTAAATTTCACAACGAGCAGCTGCATCATGTCATTGTTCGCACTTAAGTAAGAAAAAGACTACCCCAGAGTCTGATTGTGTACACGTTACTCTACTTTATAATGAAATGTATTAAGCAAAGATAACACTAGCACACTCCAAACTGTCTAATCACAGTGAAATCAATCAATATTTTATGAAAGAACATAAGTACTCGTGCACAGTTATCGGTATAACGTCACACAATCATCTAATCAATCAATTATTATTGAATACCATTAGGACAAACACAAGGGCACATTCAGATTGTAACACTGCAAACGGTACTATGTAAACAAAAGCAGAAAAAAGAGGGAAACTCACAATGGTTTCTCGGACTCGGTCGTGAAATAGTTGCTCTCTAACCGTCACGTCTTCTGTTTCCATGCTTTGAAACCATGTCTCGGCGTGTGCTCGGTTATAATTTGCAAAGCATTTGAGTCTCCGAGAAGATAATAGCTTACGTGGAAACTTGTCTCAAGTCTCGAACGAACGCTTTCCACCTCTAAACGTATTGCAGTTGCTATTTCTATAGTCACTAAGTCAGCGAACTACTCCTGTTTCACTTCATTGAGGTGGATAGAAGCTTCTTAAATGATTATTCACCAGCGAAAAAGACACTGAACTCATCGAGTCAGCGTGTTCACAGATGCTCCTCAAATGAATCTTCCAGTCGCTCTCAAACTCCATCTACTGGAGAGGCTGGGCTGTGGGAGGAGGAAGAGGCGGATTTAAGACCAATGAAACTTGATCAATAGTGAACATTTGCAGACCATTATATAAAATAATACAAAATGTTATAAAAATGTAATAGTTTCGTGTTTGAGGATGATGTAGGCCTAATAGAATATATGAAATAGAAAAAATATATGTATTAAAATATGAACGCAAATTATTAATATATCAAAGTAGCATATTTAAACTTTCGAGCTGTTTTAATTGAAAGGAACTTGCACTGACATAGCCTATCTTAAAATATGTCAGTGCTTTTGTTTTGTCTCGATATGTACACCAGTAATCTTTTAAGGCACATTTTAAAAAAGCTCAAAATGTCCTAAATTAACTAAAGCCTTATCCTGGCTTAATCTAAACCCTGTCTGTGAAACCAGGCCTTTATGCCCTAATGATGGAATATTTCACATTAGATAAATAAAAAAAAGGGAGAGGGGAGGGTACATTTAGCCACACATGGCTGTTTCAACAACAATCATCCAAATGTACCAATGTAGGCTATAGGCCTATACTGTTTAATGTTTAACAGCAGTTACTTACAATGAATCGTACTCCTATACTTTTGAACTGTAGTAGTGTATATTAACAGAAATGTGTTTAAGGTTACAGTCTGAGCAGCACAGCATGTAAGGGTTACTCTTGCAAAAAGAGTTTAGTCCAATGCATTTTAGCAAATGTCTAATGTTCTGTGTCTTATTTGTGTCCACAGATATGGTAAATCAAAGTTTACTCTTTATGACCCGTGTCATCATCAAACCAAAGTCCATACTAGCGCAAACACGGAAGTCCATAGGTTACATTATTTTCAGAAAGTGAATGATTTAAATTTAAAGTTAACTTCAAAGCTGTGATCTATTGCATGCATTCTTACATTTTTAATGCTGACCTTGTTGTAGGAGTCGTCTAAAACTATTTGATGTATGAATGAAGCTTGATCTCTCAGTCCCGCAGGTAAGAGAACAGTGACCTGTTTGATTTTATAACTTGAAAGCCAGTGATATTGGGGATATAAGAGAGAGACAAGAGAGATTATCAAAACCATAATTCACCCCTGTGTGAATTAATTTCTTCTGTGGAATACCAAAGGAGAAGTTATATACCAAAATATGCTCTTCTCACTCAGTGGAAATAAATGCAGACCAGGGAATGTCAAGTTCCAAAAAGAAACAAGTTACAAAAAAGCAATTATAAAATAAGTAATTATGATTTATATACTATATTACACATCTTACATAAAAGCTTTGAATTTTAATTTATGGGTGAACTATTCCTTTAAATACTATATAATGTCCACATGACATGCTTGTCCCTAATTTATCATAAAGCACTTTTCATAATCATGTTATTGGCTAATCTGCTTTAATACACTAAAAAAAATGGCTTTTTGATTTTACTCAGTTTTTTAAGGCAAGTATTTAGAATTGATCCTAATTTAAAACATGCATTTTTAGTTGCACTTAATCAACTATGTTTTGTTATATCAGCTCAATTATATTGAGTAGATTTGATTTATTCAAGTCTGTCCAGTATGGAAATGACATTCATGCTGTACATTTAAAAGTTACTGCCAGTCTTTGCCATAGACCATATTGACCATTGAATTTAACGCTGATGAAAACGAGGCTGTGAGGGATAGACTTTCCGTCTCAATGGCCCGCACTGTGTAAAGGTCTTAGATCACATAATTCTCACAACTTCTAAACTTGTTTAATGGAGTTTTTGTCTAGTGAAAGTTTTTTTCAGAAAGACGTTTTGACAGCTGATCAATTGGATTGTTGTTAAACAACTGTACAATCCATTGAATGCACTGTATCTCTCACAGCCTCGTTTTCTTTCCTGTCAAAAATGAAGTATGGTGCTACCCTGACTAAGGTCTATTGTACAGTTATTGCTCACTGACACTCATTATATTAATTAATGTAGCCACCTTCAACTAATTCATAAGCTAGACTTAAGTATGATGATAAAAAAAAAACACAAAAACAGAAACTCAAATATAACTAAACATTAAACATTAACAGGTATTTCCCTTTACTCAAAAACACATAAAATAACAACATTTACTCTCCTGATCCAGCCATACAAAGCATCATGGGAACTAGTTTCAGTAAATTCAGTTCTTGTATCCCTAAAACAAATTGATTAAGTAAACATCAATTTGATATATTTAAGTGGATTGAATAATGAAATTAAGTTGAACAAGCAGCAAAAATATCATATTTTTTCCTTAGTTGAAAATTACTTCTTTTTCATGTTCCTGTGCGCAGCTAGAATGACCTCATGGCTAAAAAGCTCCTGATCACATATGCCTTGTGGGCCATGGGTGGCCCACTTGGCCTTCATCACATTTACCTGGGCAGAGACAGCCATGCCCTTCTTTGGATACTGACCTTTGGTGGTTTTGGCATCGGCTGGGCAAGGGAGTTCTTCCGGATCCCATCGTATGTGGGCGAGGCCAACCATGAAGCAGAGAGAGCCCATGTTAGACATCCACGTGCCACTCCGCCACCACCAGTAGGCCTGATCCGGTTTGCCGGTCAAATTTGTGTTGGTATTTACTTTGGCTCGGTGGCTTTAATAAGCCTCAGTTCTCTTAGGTTCTTCTACTTCCTAGTGCTGCCATTGAGCATAGGTGCAGGTGTGCATCTGGTGTCCTCTGTGGGCCAGCAGACCTCTGACCTTCAAAAGACCTTTGTTGCGTGCATCATCACGTCTTCCATCTTCTACGGCAGCAATCTCTCACCTCTGCCCATCAGCATAGCTGCAAGTGTTACCGCTGCACAGCACAGCACGTTCAAACCTCTGCGGCCAGAGCCACTGGGTGAGATGGATGGTAACACTTTATATAGGCCTACAAAAAGGTCTAATTTGTTATGGTTAATGCATTAACATTTGTTAAAGTCACCATGAAATAAAATTTTGCAAGTCTTGTTTTTTATGGAATATTGCACTATAATTATTATAACTGATTATTTATAATAATTGTGTGTTATATATAACCGTGCACATCATTTTCATTAAAATACACGTGCCCTTGTAATCAGAGGTGTAGTGGTAAAAAAAGAGGTGGGTAAACTATAAATTCTGGTGGACCACGACGTGGTCACCCCGTAAGGTGGGCCACTGCCTACCGGTGTATGTGTATCTCCTGATGACATTGCTATATAGGTAGGGCTCGACATTAAGCCTTTTCATACGCTTAATCTGTCATCCACTTGTCCGAGTAAAAAAGTTTCTCGTCCGGATTTTTTTTATTATTTTTTTTATTCTGAAACAATATTCTCATCAGTGTTCAATCAGCTTTGATATTTAAATCGGCATATTGTAATATCTGCACCTTTAAAGGGCATCCCCTCCCCCAATCTTATTAAATGTATGCTTCATCTTTCATTTTAAATTCCTAAATTTGATCAATAAATTAGATTATTTCGAATAATAAGACACTATAGGGCTGATCAAATTAAATCATTTACACTGAAAAATTCCAATTGCATAAAATAATGTTATGAAATTGATTTAAATTTACAAAATAAGAAACGTTGGAAAGAATGATCTACTTTTAAACATAACACGAAACCGCCAGTAGGTGGCGGCAGGCGACCGTCTTAATGAGTGAGTCATTGAATCATTCAAACGATTTGTTCAAACGGCTGATTCATTCAAGAATGAGACAGATGTTTATGAATGGGTCATTGAATCTTTGACTCAATCAATTCGTTCAAAATGCTGAATTATTCAGTAATGAAAACAGGTCGAGTGTTCCTGTGAGATGCGCCGTGGTTCTGCTGTGATTTTTGTTTGGAACTATTTTCGCTGCTGAAACAGAACAAAAACAGCCAATATTGCATCTAAAATGTAAGTGACTTAATTTTAACTGTTTATTGAACTGTTGTAGGGAAATAAATGTCACATTTTCAATCGTGATGGTGTTCAGGAAAAATAATTGAGGTTGCTTAACATATGTTAAAAATATAAAAACTCCACATTTAGATTTTTTATAGGCAGTATCTTGTTAACTGAGTGTGTGTGAGCGCTCATTTGTGTAGATTTCTCCTCGAGAGGCTGCGCGAGCGTAAACAGCGCAACCGTCAGTAAAAGTCAACAACACTGACAGTAGCCTAATGCAGGCAATATGAAAGAGTTCGTCTTAGGTTTAACAACCTATGAAACTAATAATGAACAATATGAAACTAAAACGACATAAGCTTAATTTATAGCCAGGGATGTATAGCTATTTAGAGGTGGATAAACGCAATTTAGAGGTGGATAAACGCACCTTGGAGGTGGGTAAACGCTATTTCCGAATATTGGGAGGTGCGTAAACGGCGTTTACGTGCGTTTAGCCTCCACTACATCCCTGCTTGTAATCTTTAATCAAAATAATTTCCTGAGTCTGACCCTTTGCAACGACATCAAGTCCCGTCCTACATTTTTTCTTGCTCGAGAAGCCGTTTCACCTGGATATACGTCACAGTAGGGAAGAAAAGACTATAGCAATTTCCATTTCATGGCGACTTTAATGTTACTTAAAGGTGCTCTAAGCGATGTCGCGCGTTTTTTGGCCAAAACATTTTTTGTCACATACAGCAAACATCTCCTCACTATCCGCTGGGCTGCCTGTCCTCTGAACACACTGTAAAGAAACGCGATCTCTGTAGACAGCCCAGGCTCCACAAACAGCAACAAAAACAAACTGCAGCGACCCGCTCCCCGAAACATAACAAACTGTTCCAGCCAATGACCGACAAGAAGGGTTTGGGGGGGTTAGTGTGCGGATGAGGAGGAGGGAGGGTCTAGCTAGCCTCCGTTTTGTTTGACAATAGTTCGAACGTCAACAAGAAGTGATGTCACCCAGGATCGCTTAGAGAACCTTTAATAAAGAAAATGATATGCATGTTAATTCACTGTGCATTAACTAATGTTAACAGATACAATGTTTGATCTAAAAAAATTTTTAGTAAATGTTGAGATTAACATGAGCTAATACTAATAAATGCTGTAGAATTATTGTTCATCATTAGTTCATTTTAACTAACTAATGTTAAGAAATTAAACCTTATTGTATAGTGTTAGTCATATTTTATAAAGTAGTGGCCAAAAGTGATGTCTAGCCTTGGACAATTGACATATTCACCCTTTATTCAAATATTATTTATATATTTTTAAGATTTTGTAAGCATATTGCGTAGTTATTAACACATGCAATAACAAAAGAGAACCAACAAAATATTAATAACTGATTATGTTGTACTCAATGTGTGCTTTTTTTGTCCTGATGAGCTTTTTGTTTTTCTATGCATTTTTTTGCATAGTAAAATAATATCTGTAGCTCGCCTTTTTTTTGTGCAAAATAATTATAAAGTCATTTCTCTGACAAAATTATTTTCCAAAAAAGGCAAACAATACAGCTACCAAGTTTAGTGTTTTTTTTGTTTTTCTCCCATATATATATATATATATATTATACACACACATATTTTGATGGTTCAACTTGTAGGGTCATTAAAAACAAATATCCCCTCCGGTCATCACTTTTGGGAAATATGTGTCAATCTGGTCTTACATCATTCATGTGCAATAAATGTGTTTAATTAACCCGGTTTGTGTCAATCTTCCCAAGGGCCTCGTCTGTATCGTCTAAGTTTAGGTGTGCTGGCTTTCTCCGCTCCGCTGGGATACTGTGTTTTCCACAACACCACAGCCACATTGTACTACATATCGGACTGTATAGCGGCCCTGCTTGATTTCTTCTGGTTCCTTCCATGGCTCAAAGGACTCCTGGAGTATTTTCTGCTGTTGCCATATCGTCTGTTATGTATCCTGACAGGAGGGGGTTTCTACGAGGAAAGCTGGAGGAAGATGCTGGAAATAATTCTTAATGAGTATAGTAAAAAAGAAATGGAGGCGCTGAAGGTGAGTTCAGTACAGTTTTAAGTGGTCAACAGGGAATCTAACATTTATACTTTTCACTTTGTAGTGTTTTACATATAATCACAAGGTAATTGATGATGTTTTTGTCATTATAATGTTTTCTTACAATCAGATACTATCATTGCCAGAAGAAGCTTCTCTGGAAGAGGTCACTCGCAGCTACAGGGAACTGGCTAAAGTGTGGCATCCAGATCACAACCCCAATAAGCAATCAGAGGCACAACAGATGTTTATTCAGATCCAGGAGGCATATGAGATACTTCTCGACAGACACAAGACAAGACAGAAAAAATAATCTTCTGAGGAAGAGGACATATACCCTTTAGAAGGCTCAGATTTAACTTTCACATACTCAAGAACAACAGGATTTTTTTTTTTCATAAAGCCAATTTGGTTTAATAAACGGGAAACTATCTAAACAAAAGAGTTTTTCATTTTTATTCAGAGAAATTCTCCTCATAGGACAACTTAGGATTCTCTGCCATCTAGTGGTAACAGTATGAATAGAGTTGTTTCAAACACAGGGGTCTTCCACAGTGATTCGGCGACCCCTGAAGGGTCTGTAGTGGTACTGCAGGGGGTCGGACAATTATTGTTTTTCAAACATTTTTGTAGAAAAAAAGTAATATATTAAACAAAATGTATATACATTAATAGTTAATATACCATATTCAATTTCATTGTCCCCCCACATTAAAATGCATTAAAATAAAATGAATGTAGGCTATATGAGAAAGTATATTGTAAATAGTAGAGTCTTAGTAAGTATATGACTCTGTACATCAAAACAGAGTATTTTGCAATGTACATTAACATGGTACTATATGTTACTACAGGCCAGGCTTAAAATGCAACACTCTAATACAGTATGTAAAATTGAGCCGGTCACTTTGCCACTTTGGAGTAAAATAGAATATGAATAATGTAGGCCTACTATAATAATAATAATAATCACAGTAATTATATTATTAATGGTTTTAAAATTTTGAATATCATAATGTATATTGTTTTACATAAACATATTTTTTTCTAATTCATAGAAAATTAATTTTCTAACACATTCAACAAAATCCCCACAAATATAAATAATTAGGCTAAATTCCTTAAAAATCTTAAATTGGTTAAATAAAGGAAGTTTTATTCATGATAAATCTTAGTAAACACATATGTAATTTTTACCGATACTACCATCGAAACATCAACACTAAAATAAATAATAATTATGATAATAAAAATAATAATAATATTTGGTTTTTGTAGCTTTTTGCAGGATTTTGTTTTTCTAACCTGTAGCAAGAGCATCGATGCATTCGATAATCCCTCCCAATCGTGGATTTGAGAGGCAGTTTTTCGGTTATAGGTTATTCGGGCCTGTATCCCGGCATGGGCCCGGAAGTTGTTTGGGGTTTCAGGTAAAAGATCCCGGAGATGCTGCCTTCGCTAGAGAAAACAAACGGCGCTTCTGCTGTATAAATATTGCAATCACAGTCGATCGTCAGGTAAGAAAAAATACTCACTGTGCAAAATCAATGGCAGTTATTCAAGGAAAGTGACATTAGGCCAGGTAACTGTGCTCGGATTGGGAGGGTTTACACGGCTAGACTCATCTGTCGAGTGCTGGGTGCCATAGCAACGCCAGCGGGCTCTCAGGAAACAGAATTCCGCTTTAGTTTGTCACGTCTAAAGATCGACTGTAATTCACGACCGGAGGCTGCCGATCGGATTGCGTTGTCAGCAACACTTGTTCTTTCGTTTGTGAGTTAGTTTAGCGACGTCTTTGCCTTAATGTGAGCTGTCACGTCTCGTTAGCTGGTTAGCAGCGGTGGCTAGCTAGTGTTGCTCCAGACAGACAGGATTGACATGATTCTGCGTGCTGTCAGTCCTCCTCTACAGCACGATGGTGTATGTAAAGTTACTAAACATACGAGTGCTCGTGTTCGCGTCGTCAGGCGTTGTTTTCTGGTGTGACTGCAGACAGACAGGGCTGTTTCGATTATTGCGTTAATTAGACTCATTGACAGCTCTGTGAATTCATGAGATCTGCCTGTTGCAGCTGTGAATGCTTTCTGTCTCATTCGACACAATGAGGTCTTACATTTCTGAAGGCCTGTTTGTTATTAGATCATGTAGTTGTATGTATACCACAAATCCGATATAAAATAATAACACGACTCTGTAAGAGTCTATATTTATTATTTATATGAGTCCATATTTATTCATGGTTTGAAATAACTGAAAGAAAGCAGTTTGTCATCTCATAGGATAATAGCATCAGCCTGCACCTGCACTTTATGACATTGGAATGTGTTTAAATTTTCTTTAAAAAATTTTTTAATCTGTGATCAATTTTGAGCCATATTATTAACCATGAAAATTTCATAAATTATACAATTATGATACCATAGGTCTGAAGTCATTCAGAAGGAGTTTTTAATCTGGTTCCAACGTGTATTATTTTATAATGCATAAACAAAATATTTTCAATTTAAATATTCGTGGATTAACACAATCTGTGTAAAAATAAATATTGAAGACTTAGTTTTGGTAAAAGTGTCACTTTTCCTCTTCAGTTCAAACACCTTGTGCATTATTTTGCTGTTAGTAAATGTATGATGTATGTTTATCTCTAATTTTAGTTTGTGGATTTCATAATTCTCTTTTGTTGAATGGAGCAGTTAAAATGAGTCAACTTTTCAAATTCATTAAACAAATTAATTTATTCTCATTTATGTTATGTTGTTTAGGAAAGTGCAACGGTGGTTTTTGTTGTCATTTGGGGTTTTATGGGGGGGAAAAAATACATACAAGGGCCATTGTACCACAAGTCGTCTTTAGCCCTACTATTTCCTATCATCTAGATTCTAGAACTATATGTGTGAGGGGGTAAACCTTAAACAATATCAAAGATGTTGGGGATAATTTGATTTTATAGATGTCCAGAAAACATGCTGAAAGGATGAAACTGGTTCTTCATTTGCAATTCAGATGTGACCACAGATGAGTCAAATAGTTATTTGTATAAAAATGAATGATTTAATTTTAATATGTGTTGCATTTAAAGCCTATTTCCAATACCAAAATGATAATATGTGGAAATTTCTGAGTAATAGCAAATCATAACAACCCCTGCATTTGGCTTAGTATCATCATTGCTTTAGATGTCAGCCTGTGTTCTGATAGGTCACAAGATAAAGGGAGGGCAGTTTCTTGCACACTGCGCTCTTCATTTAAGACCAGAATTCTATAGAATGGACACTCAATTCAGCTGTTGAGTTAGAAATGAGATCTTGACCAGTGTGTATATCAATTATTCAGCTACTTAAACCGTGCAACCACACAGGAAAGGGAGAAATAACAAACTGCAAGTGAACTAGCCAGTTTCTTTTTTCAGCTGAAATCAGATGAGCCAAATATATATATGATTTAATGTTTTTTGATTGCACTGTAAAATGTACTAATGCATATCTTTTAAAAACTTGCTTTCCTATTTCTTTGCAATGATGAAATTGTAAGTTGGTTTTATGCTTCGTAAAACAAATGTTTTTGTATGATTTCTTGGTACAGGCAGCTGCTGTGATGATGAATGCTGACGATTGCAATGGCCGTTCGTACATGTCAGGTCAGGTATCTTTTTAAGTTCTTATTCTTTTGTTATTTTCATAGATATGCATGTAGCTAAATATAGTGGGTTCCAAATGCCAATGACCACACTGAGATCTGGGACATTTATTATATATATATCCACTGCTGTGATCCTCATGAAAGAATCCAGTATATCTTAAACATATTTTATTGAATTGTGCTGGTTTAAATCCTCTTAGGAAAATTATATTACTCAGCAAACTCTTTTGAAGACATTTTTGACAGGGTGAACTCCAGAGTTTTTATCCAAAGCAAACTTTTAAAAAACAAACACATTTAGGTTCTTTTTTATTTTATTTTTCTATATTTTTTATTATTATATTTTAAACGCATTGAATACAAAAAATCCTGAGACTTTCTAAAAAAAAGAAGAAATTCCAATGAAACTTTTCACTCAAATTGTTCTGCTGATAATATCATTTCTAGTGGCATGAAATGAAATAAGAAAAAATACAAAGGTGTATTTTAAGCCCCATTGTACTTGTACATGTTTTCAGGTAGTGGAGATTCTTCAACAGAGCGGGAGTTTTTTGCAGGGCTGAGAGGTCCCACCGTGAGCACACCAAACAGTCAACAGTCCTCACCCAGCCGCTCACTCAGTGGTCAGTGTCTTGTCCATTAAACACACTTTAACATCTTAGTTTGAACAAGTTCTGCTTTAGGTAAAAGCATCTGCCAAGTGAATAAATGTGTAACTTTATATCTATGCCCAGCAAACTCCATCAAGGTGGAGCTCTACAGTGACGAGGAGGCAGGTGGTGCTCCACTGGCGGAAAGGAGAGTCGGGGAGAAGAATGAAGGATGGAAAGATGAAAAGGGCGAGTTGGCTGAAGATGGTGGAGTGGAGATGGTCGGAGGTACACGAGGACAGGCTGGGAGCGGCTGTGGAGAGATGGCCAGCTCTGAGCCCGCATCCCCTGGTCCCATTCGGCTGCCCAATGGGAAACTTAAATGTGATATATGTGGGATGATCTGCATTGGACCCAATGTTCTAATGGTGCACAAACGCAGCCATACAGGTAAGTGCTTCTTCACTGACCCTTGACAAAAAAAGACCAAATATATTTAAAAAATGTCAGTTTGAAGATATGTGCTGCTGTTTTTTTGCGCCGGTGGGAAAACTGGTAGTCTTGGTCTCGGTAGGTGAGCGGCCATTCCAATGTAACCAGTGTGGGGCCTCCTTCACTCAGAAGGGCAACTTGCTGCGTCATATCAAGCTCCACTCTGGCGAAAAGCCCTTCAAATGTCCCTTTTGTAACTACGCCTGTCGCCGCCGTGACGCCCTGACAGGACACCTCCGCACCCACTCCGGTGAGCCTTTGTGGTTTGAGAGAGGCCATTTGCGAGAAATAAAGAGAAGGAAGGAGAGAGAACTTTGTGGCTGGAAAATAAATGGATGGAAAAGTGTGTGGGATGGAAAAAATCCATTTTGATTTGCCACAGAGCATAAATGAATAGTCAAGGTCATGTAACCTACTTCTCTTCTAATGTAAGTGGTGATTATTTTTGCTCCCTAGAACTTCCTTTTAAACCTGTTGCTGTACAAGAGCTTGTGCAAGCAGACTAATAAGTGTGAATAAGACATCATTGATCGGTTACATAATCAAGTTTTTTAGTCAAACGAAATGCAGCGGTCTAGTATGACATTTAGAGTATTATGAAAACAGGAAATCCTGCTTGTGTTTTTGAGTGATGAAGAGCATTTACCTGTAGTGCCTAAGGTCCTTTGAATGAGAATGCAGATATTCAGAGAAATGACTTGATAGAATAATGAATTTCTCTGAAATGACGCACATCTCTAAAGCTAAATGGACAGATGTGGTCTGTAGTTTTTTCCTCTTCTGTTAACGTCATAGATGAGCAGCGTCATTTCGTTTTTGGGGAAATTGTGACAAGGGAAATTCTGTGGTCTGACGAATCCTGTACCAGTAATTCGAGTATTCTAATGTAATTATATTGGAAATATTACTATATTATAAATCACAATATATTAATATTTATTATATATTATCTGTTATATATAATATACACTGCCCGGCCAAAAAAAAGGTTGCTGTTTCGATTTAAATAGGCAAATACGTCTAATCATTATTGCAGTGATTATTATGTTTCTTTCTACCATGTTATATGTTTGTCAACAGTTCTTCTGTTCTGACCCTAATTGATGGAGTAGCTTTTCATTTCTTAAACAACCATGTAGGAAGACACATCATGGCCATATTCCAAGATGATAAAGTGACAAGATGCATCAGGCTCAAATTGTGAAAGAATGGTGGGGAGGGAGCATGAAGAATCATTTTCACACATGAATTGGCACCTCTGAGTCCAGACCTTAAATTCAGTCTTTGGGATGTGCTGGAGTAGACTACACAGTGCTGGACACTCTTTCTTTGTCAATACAAGGTCTTGACCGAAAATAGATGCACCTTTTAAATGTTGTGGTGTTATTTCCATCAATTGGGGTTAAAAGAACTGTTGCCAAACATATAACATGTTAGATGATCACGGCAATAATGATCCAGTTATTGACTCTTAAGCATTTCCCTATTAAAATCCAAACAGCAACTTTTTTGTGGGCCAGGCAGTGTATTATTTAATAACTTTACAGGGTAACACCTTAAATTAACCACAGCATCAATACTGTGTTAGTGATGTTTGTTTACATAGCACATAAGCTGTGTGAAATGCATTCATATTCTCCCTCCACGTTATTTCAGTGTCCTCCCCTACAGTAGGGAAGCCCTACAAGTGCAGTTACTGTGGCCGCAGCTACAAGCAGCAGAGCACCCTGGAGGAGCACCGTGAGCGCTGCCACAGCTACCTACAGAGTCTGGACCACCAGCCTGCTCATAACACCCAGCCTGCGCACGGTAATGCCATATTTACTAACACAAATGCTTGGGAGGTCAAAACTAGCAGTACTTTGGGTATCAAGTTGACTCTAAAATGGATGATTTCGGTCTTTCTGCAGTACTAACTTAATTCGTCCGAGTGCTGCCTGACAGGCGGCCGCTTTTGAAAGCTCACCAGTGTTGTTATGTGCATGCTCTGTGAAGATCACAGCTGGTGATGTAGCTGCGCACTTGAACGGTCCAAAGCACTTCTTGATTAAAATACATGCCTTAGAGAGGTATTATTGTAAACACAGAGAATCTAAACAGGTGGTTATGTGTAAAAATATTACTGTGCTGTAGGCCTTGCAGTATGAGCTAAAATGTAAACTACCGTAATATAACTGCTGCAGTCTCTTATGTTGTTAATATGCTGTATTTTATTCTTAATTGATATAACCTGCTGCTCAGTCAAACTCTGAGAGCACTGAATCAATATTAATGTACATAACTAATAATAATATATTTAAGACTCTGCAAAAAGAATACTTTTAGTAAATTATTTTACATTAGACTACTTGTGAAATTTTTTTTTTACTCTTATTAATAAAAGTGTACACTGCCGGTCAAAAGTTTGGCGTCGGTACAGTTTTTAATTTTTTTTACAGAAAATAATTTTTACTCAGAAAAGACATTAAATTGATCAAAAGTGACAGTAAAGACATTTTTATATTTTGTTACACAATTTCAAATAAATACTGTTCTTTTGAACTTCTTATTTATCAAAAAATCCTGAAAATAATAATACACTGAAGACTGAATTAATGACTTCTGAAAATTCAGCTTTGAACAGTTATTTTAAATTGTAATAGTATTTCACAAAACTGATTTTACTTTATTTTTTTATCAAATAAATGCAGCCTTGGTGAGAGATTTCTTTCAAAAACTGACCACAAAACTTTCGAACGATAATTAATATAGTTTCAATACCATATTAAATGCTGTGGTTTCAAAATTGGTATGATATACTCAAACACACATCATTCTATTATAATCATGCTTCTGCGTGTGGATTGTCTTCAGGTGAAGAGTCCCATAATGTGGAGATGATGTCTGAACCACTGATCCAGTCCTCCTCAGAAAAGATGACCTTCATTGATCGGCTGGCCAATAGCATCACCAAGAGGAAGAGATCTACACCCCAGAAGTTTCTGGGTAGGCCCATTTCTTTGAATACCTATGCAGAACAGTGATACCTGAGTTGTGAGCTTTGTGAACTGTATGCAGCGAGAAAGACTGGAGATTTTTTTAAAGTGATAAACATGCAAACTTCTAAGGTTCTTAAAAATTGAATCAGTCTGTTTAATGATTGGTTGTCAATATGACAATGTGTTGTTCAAGATATATATATAACCTATTGTTCAAAAGTTTGGGGTCTGTACGTTTTCTTACAAATGTTTTTGAAAAAAGGCTCTTATGGTCATTCGGGAATATTATTACAATTTAAAATAAATGTTTTCTATTTTAAAATGGTTAAATAGGCAAAGCTGAATTTTCAGCATCATTACTCCAGTCTTCAGTGTCACATGATCCTTCAGAAATCATTCTAATATGCCATTTTTTGTGGAATCTGTGATACTTTTTTTTAAGGCAGGATTCTTTGATGAACAAGGAAGTTCAAACTAACAGCATTTATTTGAAATAGAAGTCTCTTGTAACATTATAAATGTCTTTACTGTCACTTTTGATCAATGCAATGTATAAACGTATTCATTTATTTTAAAATAACCGAACCTTTGAAAGGTAGTGTACACTCACCTAAAGGATTATTAGGAACACCATACTAATACTGTGTTTGACCCCCTTTCGCCTTCAGAACTGCCTTAATTTTACGTGGCATTGATTCAACAAGGTGCTGAAAGCATTCTTTAGAAATGTTGGCCCAAATTGATAGGATAGCATCTTGCAGTTGATGGAGATTTGTGGGATGCACATCCAGGGCACGAAGCTCCCGTTCCACCGCATCCCAAAGATGCTCTATTGGGTTGAGATCTGGTGACTGTGGGGGCCATTTTAGTACAGTGAACTCATTGTCATGTTCAAGAAACCAATGTGAAATGATTCGAGCTTTGTGACATGGTGCATTATCCTGCTGGAAGTTGCCATCAGAGGATGGGTACATGGTGGCCATAAAGGGATGGACATCGTCAGAAACAATGCTCAGGTAGGCCGTGGCATTTAAACGATGCCCGATTGGTACTAAGGGGCCTAAAGTGTGCCAATAAAACATCCCCCACACCATTACACCACCACCACCAGCCTGCACAGTGGTAACAAGGCATGATGGATCCATGTTCTCATTCTGTTTACGCCAAATTCTGACTCTACCATCTGAACATCTCAACAGAAATCGAGACTCATCAGACCAGGCAACATTTTTCCAGTCTTCAACTGTCCAATTTTGGTGAGCTCTTGCAAATTGTAGCCGCTTTTTCCTATTTGTAGTGGAGATGAGTGGTACCCGGTGGGGTCTTCTGCTGTTGTAGCCCATCCGCCTCAAGGTTGTGCGTGTTGTGGCTTCACAAATGCTTTGCTGCATACCTCGGTTGTAACGAGTGGTTATTTTAGTCAAAGTTGCTCTTCTATCAGCTTGAATCAGTCAGCCCATTCTCCTCTGACCTCTAGCATCAACAAGGCATTTTCGCCCACAGGACTGCCGCATACTGGATGTTTTTCCCTTTTCACACCATTCTTTGTAAACCCTAGAAATGGTTGTGCGTGAAAATCCCAGTAACTGAGCAGATTGTGAAATACTCGGACCGGCCCGTCTGGCACCAACAACCATGCCACGCTCAAAATTGCTTAAATCACCTTTCTTTCCCATTCTGACATTCAGTTTGGAGTTCAGGAGATTGTCTTGACCAGGACCACACCCCTAAATGCATTGAAGCAACTGCCATGTGATTGGTTGATTAGATAATTGCATTAATGAGAAATTGAACAGGTGTTCCTAATAATCCTTTAGGTGAGTGTATATGTTTTTATTACTTTTTAAAATATTATATTTTAAATAATTTTGTTGCTATAAATTAGATTTAGAAATAGTATAGTAACAACAGTATTGGTTCTTGCGTAGATGCAAAAACAGAATAATTTCAGTGCAACCTAGTGATTACTAAAGATCAATGATTATGATGCTTCCTGGCTTTCTAGGTGAAAAGCACATGCGACTGAATATATCCGAAGCACCTTATGAACTCGACCCCAATCCTGATAAAGAAGGGGACATGCTGCTGTCGCACCCCGAGGGTGACCCCGCTGCTTTAGCAGGCATGGGAGGGCGTTTCCTGCGGGGGCCGAGAGGAGGGAACAACGATGTGGATCCTTCCCGGTCGCTGCGGATGCCCCCCCACTCCACCTGCATCTCAGAGTTCACCCCAGTCATCAGCTCCGTCTACCCTCATATAACCTCTCTAGGGCAGCGTCTAAACTGTGCAGGGGGCATCTCCATGGGCCTGGCCGGGAGGGAGGCCGGCGAGGGTCATGAAGATGCTCCTTCCACCCGCAGCCACGCCGCCTCGCCGAGCAACGGTTACCAAGATTCGACAGACACTGAGAGCATGGCGGAGGAGCAGTGCGTCATCACCTCGGTGCCACCAGGAAACTTGAACCACCGTGGGCGCGAGCGGCACAGTCCTAGTCACGCCAAAGAAACGGACATGGAGGGGGACAGGGAGAAAGGGATCCCTGGGGGTTTACCGACCAAGGCGAGCCCGCGCTCACCGCTGACGAGGGAAGCCATGCAGGTGATGGACGGGGAAGGGCGGCCGGTGCGCTCCTTCCGCTGCGAGCATTGTCGCATTTTCTTCCTGGACCATGTCATGTTTACCATCCACATGGGCTGCCACGGCTTCCGCCAGCCCTTCGAGTGCAACATCTGTGGCCACCGCAGCCAGGACCGCTACGAGTTCTCCTCGCACATTGTCCGCGGGGAGCACCAGGTGGGCTGAGGTGGGCGGAGGTCAAGACTGGGGGGAGATGTACAGAGCGTTGTATGCTGCTTTGAGATGGCGTCATGGCGTCTAGTTCGGTCTGCACCAGATTGGGGCACATTAGCACTTGCTTTTATAATTAGCGGACATCAGATTTTACATCGAAGGCTAATCGCTTAGGTACGAGCATAAAACGTGCAATTGCATCCCGCGTTAGAGGATGACAAGTCATATCCTCCGATTGCACTCCCACAACAAGTCATTCATCGCAAGAAGCAGCTGTTTTGCTTTAGAAGTGCCTTACTTCGGTGGGGTTTATTTTTTATCAGTTGGGAAGAGATTCGAGATGTGAGATTAGGTCTATACCCATCTGTTTGGTGGCGTTTACATAGAGTCTGCCTCTTGAAGAGAGAAAGACATTGAATTGCTTAGACGTCCAAAGTCTGGACTGGTTTATCCAGAGTGGTTTTCCAAAGTTTCTGAGCCTGTTAAACAAGAAATCTATGCCTAAGAGTATTCACACTAACTTTGTGCTCTTTTAGGATACCTCGGTGGGACTGTTGAAATTAGGCGACTCAGGGAGGACACTGCTGACAGAGAGGGAATGGAGAGCAAGCAGCGTGAATTGCAAAATTGAGGCTGGAGTATTGGTATGTTAGCCATATAAGGAGGAGCACAGACACATATTGCCTTAATCGTTGCTTTATATGAACCCTGTACGAGTTCGTTTTAGAATTGCACATGGTTTTTAATGCTGGACCATTCCGTAGGTACAATGCAGCCTGAATTCGGGTAACTTCGAAACAAAGATGATACGTCACTCTTGGGTCAAATAGGATTGGGGTTAGGCTAAGGCTCGGATAATTTTATTGCTTTCTAAAATGTATGTTAATGTTTTATTTAAGAAAGGAAATGAACTTGAAACATTTGCCTTAGTTTTTGAGTCTACAACCTCTGTCAAGAAAGAGAGAAAAAAAGTTGGTTTCCTTGTGCCTCAGATCTTGATTGTCGTTTCAACTTTATCTCAACCTCACTTAAGTGGCGATAAAGATTTTGCCTATCAAATCTATTGAGGTTTTTTAAAATAGTTTTTGTAGTACGAAGTCCCCGCCATCCATCCTCTGCCATGCTGCGTACACAGTGAGCCACATTATGTTTTTTAGATCCGGAAAAGAAGCCTTAATATTCTGGTGCAGACCAAACACAGACCTATGTTGCATTCCGTGAATTTGATGACGTGTGAAGGGGGAGGGTTGTTACCTCAAAAGGAGGATTGCACTTTTTCTAATTCTGCTTAAATGTGAGTGTTTTTGCTGGGGCTGTTGGGAGGGTTTCGGACAGGCGGGGCGGGGCGGCACCGGGCGGGAGGGGGATTTTATTCAAAGGCTTTAGGGGAGCAGACACAGTAATGATTGGTAACTGAGCTTTGAAACATATTCTTTTGTTTTCTGAAATTGCTCTATTGCACTGATTTCTGATAAAAATGCTATTTAGAGAAAACAAGAAACAATTTGATACGAGAACACATTGGTTATAAAGACCAGATGAACAGTGTGGTGTTTTTAAAAACAATTCTATAAAGGCTATTTTCCTAATCATAAAAAGGGGTCACGGTCATTTAAGGATTCAGAACTGAACAGTTTCTCCTTGTGTTGTAAAATTTGGTGCTTGGATGTTTGTGTGACTTCTGCCCTTGATATTGGACTTGTATCCTGTACGCTTGTCCTGTGTGGTCATGTCCCATATGAGTTCATGCATACGGTACTCTCGATCCCCACTGAGTACAAACTGCTGCTTGAATTTGAAGGAAAGGACTGAAATATTGTTGTAGAGTTACGTACCGTCCTGCCAAGATATATTGTGGCCTGTTTTATCAGCGGATCTCACTTGCACAAACTGAAACAAAACTAAAGCACCAATGAGAGAATTTTGGAGAATCTCAAAGAGTTGTTTTGTTTGATTGCTTGTACATCTTTATGTGACGTGGGCTGTGGTTAAGGGTACTTGGATGTTGTAGCATGTGTGTATCACTTGACCTTGGAGGTGGTCAGCTGTTTCCAAAACTTGCTTATGTGTAATCCACTGACCCTACATCTTTTCAGTTACTTTTACAACATTTGTAGGCCTCTTAATACGTATGCTTGGATTCACTCCAGTGCAAGCCTACGGAGTACAGTATGAATGGATCGAAGAAGTGAAATCCAGTATTTACAAAGGTTAGTCAGTGACTTTGCACCCTTCATAGACTTTAATGGGTTTTTTTCTGCTGGCATAAATTTATTTACTTGAAATTATGGCAAAAACCATATATGACACTTAATGCACTTATCGGTCAAAAAGAAATTATGTAATGAATTCTACCGAGTGTGTGAATGAGAGAGTTTGCATGTGTACTCGTTTGTTTGCTGGGGTTCTGCAACTGTTCTGCTTGTGAAATACTAGCTGCAATTTTCCCTATTTCCTCTAAACCAAACCAGGCTCTTTTCTGCACCATTTCATATTTCTTATCCCCAAGGTGTGATGAACTCAATATTTTTAAATGAACTGTGAAGCAACTATAATGAGCAGCAACTGAGAAAGAGAGACCTAGCATTTTGGGGAGGCAGGGATCAAACTCTCTGTCATTCTTGGGCTTTATCCCTGGGTTCAATGTTTTTAAATATTTTGTGAGAAAAAAAAATGTATATGACAAAGAAAAACTCTTTACCTCAAATTTGTTAAAATATAAAAAACTGCCTCATGTTCTATAAAAAGGTGTGTTGGTTTCAAGAGGTATTGTTTATTTGATCTTGTTTTTAAAGAGTGTAACCCAACTTTAAGTTGAAGTAATTTTTCATGTCCAATAAAGTAATATTTGTTGTAACTTCTGTCCGCTTACAACTCTAAACACTTGTTCTCTAGTTTCCCTAATTCATGTCGTCTTGATCAAGTCAACAAATAATCGGTCTATGAATTTTTTTCTCTACAGGGTCAATATGTGGTCAAGGTGGACATCTAAAGTGACTGCTCACCATCTTTAACTGTTTTTTTTTTTTAGATTGACAGATGAATTTGAAAAAGAACAAATATTCTATGATCTCTAAATTAATAAGGACAAAATGAAAAAAGCTTTTTTTTAGTATAGCATGTACTATAAACGATTTAAGTCATTTCATCTCGTTTCTTGTTTCAGTGCAGTATTTTAATATTTTGAATTACATTTATATCTTTAGTTTTCACAATTGTTTTTATTAATATTCAGTTTTTACTTAGTATTTGTATTTTTTTAGTTTTAGTAATTGTAACTGTCAACTGTTTAGATTCTCAAATTAATGTTTTTTTTTTTTTTACGATAATGCGGTTTTATTTCTATTATAAAAAAAGATAAGACTTTGCTTACATTGAGCAACGTATTTTACAGCATTTACTAATCTTTATTTAAAACGATTTTTCATGATAGTTCACAGAACATTCATTAATGTTAACAGATAAATTTGATTTTAAAATGGTTAGTAAATGTTAAAATGACCATTTAGATGAATAAATCCTGTAGAAGTATTGTTAACTAATAGACAAGGGTTTTCCTATTGACAATGGGTTTTAGTAAACTTAAGACCACTCATGTTTTATACCATTTTTGCCTTAAATGTAAAAACAAGGTCTATTTAAAATGACTATAACATTAAGCAGCTTTATTTCCCCCCCAAATGACCTCTCAGAATACAACCTCAAGAAAAACCTACTTGTACACATTAGAGGACAACAACATTTTCCATTTTTGATTAAACAAAGACAAGAGAACAGTTTAGGTTTAGTCATCTTTATTTCTTTACAGAAACATGTATGCAAATATCTCCAATCACATTGGTTTTGGAGGGGGACGTGGAGGACCTCCCTGGAAGAAAGAAAAATCAGAAAACTTAATATTGTATTGATCAGTATTATTGACAAAAGTCTAAGCAACAAATAAATTATGCATGTAATAGCTATTAAGCACAATAAGTATCCCTATGCCCTAATTTAAAATGGCTATGGATGCATCACTTACAGCAGGCCTGAAGCGTGGAGGAGGGGTACGGTCCTTCCTGGCCTCGCGAGAACGGTTCCTCACCACTTTGCTGTGGATGGCACAGCTGACACAGTAGTGCAGCTTCACATACAGTTTGGGCAAAACGTAGGCTGCAGAAGGACAAAGAAACAAGTTCGATAAATGTTTTAACAAGCCCGTTTGTTCTCCTCCCTAAGAAGCCCAGTATCTTACTCACAATCAAACACACTGGCTTCAGAGATGTCCCTTACAGCCGCAGCCTCCACAATATTTCTGATGACAAACTTCTTGATGGCTTTGTCCTTGGGCACACACCGGGCACAGTTTGTGCAGCGGATGGGCTGGACATGCCCACGTCCCTTCTTAGCACGACCGTTATTCCTCCTCTTCTTAGTCTAGGAGATGGAAAAATAAAGTTAGCACTGGTTTGCAAATGACAACCTTGAAATCATAATCTGTTAATGCACATTTACAAAACATTTAGTTTAATTAGTTTAAATGTAATTGTAATTGGTGGCTTTGCACTTGATACTTTATACAATTTAACAATTCTGATGGGCTTTGTAATGTGTATTTGATTTTTATAACGTCTGTACACCTATAGTGCAAACAGGCACAGTAAATAAAATATACTTTGCTGTAATTTGTGGAGAATAGGTAAATCGATCCAAATTAAGATACCAAGAAATAGTAATACGGAATTTCTTGAAATACAGATAGCTATTAACGGGGGTAAAAGCTTAACTCATCGGTTTAGGACTAGATAAAAGGCTGTAATGGGTGTTTGGTGAACATGCGTGATACTTCAGGCGTAGTATCGTTAATGAATTATTATGATCAAAAACTAAGAAAAACCGAGTGGTGTTTGGTTGTATATGGAGAGATATTACTCCGAAATGCGAAACGAATGAGAAATCGCACTTGTCGCAATAATAACAGGATAAAAGACGGTGCTCTGTCTGAACGATTGGTAAACTCACCATCTTGATTTAGAGAAGCATGAGAAAGGACCGGAAATACTTTTACGTCATTTATATACTGTGCGCAGCAGCCGGACGTCTTTGGGTAATATAATAAAAGCCATTATTAATTTTAAAATAGTTTAACACTATTTTCTTTATTATTATCTTAAACTTAAGTAGAAAAAAAGATTGTAAAAATTGAGTGTTTTACCATGTGTTTTCAGAAATGTTAAGTAGTGTATTTTACCAGTGATATTTCCAGATAGCTACGTATAAAGACAAACGGTCTTCAACGTATACTGGTGCCATTTTGTGTTTTACAGCCGCAAAATAACCTGACTGAAAGAACAATACAGTTGATTTATTATCTTCTTGGTAAGTCCAAACAATGCAAAGTATAAATTCGTGTGCAGACGAGTGTGGCCCATTAAGACTACCACTAGATGTCAGTAAAGGCTTTGTTATAGCACAGAGAACCAAGTCTCTCATCTTAATGCTTTTGTCAATGCTTAGAATTAGTCAGTGCAGATAAACCACTTAATAGCTAAACTAGTAGACAATCACCGAATAGTGAGAGATACCAAATGTAGAAGTTTAAGAATCAGTCATTGAAACACTTATATTGATTGACCACTAATCTAAATGGACTGGTCCTTCTCAGTGTCTATGTTGGTTAGTGCTCAGTGCAAAGTGGATTTCTTTATTGAACACTTTTGCTGTCTAAAATACCAGTCATCGAAAATCAAACCACACCCCTGTTTGTACCAGCGTTGTCATGTTTTAGGTGGATTTCTGAGATTATGGACAATGATTGACATTTGGCTGATGTTCTCTGGTTTGCCTCTGGAAGTGATTACAGAGTTGGATTGTGGAGTGGAGCTCTGGTGAAGGGTGGGGGGAAAAGAGGGAGGTGTTCTTATGCAAGCAGCCCTCAGCATGCATGTGCAGTCTAGAAGAGTGAATGTGTAGTTCCTGCAGTTGACTGTCCCCTGTGTCACTGCACTTAGGGAGCTGTTGCCAAGTCTTTTTTACAGGGTCGCTGATGGGAATTGAAAGGATAAAACCAGGGCCCACCTACGCAAAGGTGCATTCAATCAAATATACTCCCTCTCATTTTACTTTGACCTTGTAATATGGCATTTAAGATATTCATTTCGGTGCTGGGACTTAGTCATACTTGAGGGAAAGTTTGCTGTGGCTATAATATTTGCATTGGTAAATTGAATTTGAGAATGGAAAGTGCCTGTCAGTGTGTGTGCAGAAGCTGAATAGTGTTTTAAGTTATCATGAGACAGAAAAAGGGAGAGATGGTGACACAGGAATGTGTCAGTGTTCATGTAACCACTATGCCCTTAAACTGCAGCAAATAAACATTCCTCCATTCATGTGTCAGAGCTGAACACTTGCCCACTTTTGCTGTAAAAACATAGGCAATAATTAAATCCAAAAACCCAATACTTTTTCCTTTGTCTTAAACAACATTTTTCTTCCAGTGGATTGCATTTCGACAATGTACCATTCATATATTTTTTTTACCAACAAGACTTGATAGTATGGAAGTGTGCGAGACACTGCAGATTACAATATATCATTTGCATCCACACAGGCAGCTTTTGTGATGGCCATGCTGGATTGTTGTTAGCAATGTAGAATCCAGTTAAAACTTATTATGCGGCTATTTGGGATACTTGATTCTGATCTGTCAATAGTGCCATCCAGCGGTCAGATATTTCCTAAAATTGACCATTGTCTGTGGCAACACTGTATATATCAAACTACTTGTCGGCTAACTGAAACTGTTAAGGTTTTTTTTTTTTTGTCTCCTGTATTACATTATGTATTCTTGTTTTACAAAAATGCATCTGTTGCTGATTTTTGTGAAAAAGACCTCAGAGGACTTTATTAGTAATATTGCTTTAATATTCATCCAGTGTTTGTCTTGTTGCTAGGCAATTGTTTTGTATTTTGTAATGTGCTTTTTTTAATTAACAGATGTTTTGAGATAATATAAAGGTAAAATGATAAAATATTTTATGTCCATATATTTTTGGTAAGTAACAACAGTGCAAACAACGTTGGACCCTTATTGACTTTCATTGTATGGACAAAAAAAATTTATTTTGTATTCTGAAGAAAAAAGTTATGCCAGTTTGAATCAGGGCACATAACTAATGAGGGAATCTTAATTTTGGGGTGAACTGCCCCTTTAATACTTTTTTGCCCCTGAGCCAACAGTAACAATTCACTTTTTAGTCATCAAAAAAATATGGCACCATTATATTTGAGCTTTATCTCTGTCATCATGTGGTTGCAGAAAGTGATTTAGCCTGGCTGAAAAACAGGCCTACTGAGAACCGCCCGTCGCCTCAATAGACTAAATCAAGAGGTCATGGTCCATTAGTGAGGGGGGTCGATATTGCCACCTAAATCATTACTACATCAGGCCTGTTTGCCCACACACACGCCGACGTACACACTTGCACAGACATACAGATATTATCATGCAGGCTTGTACATTACACAGGCAGACTCCACTCACACATTGCTGAGTATTAGCCACAGATATCAGTCTAATAGTTTATACTACACCCACCCTCATTCCACAGACACATCCTCAGGAAAGAAGTGGATTTAAGATTGTCACAGCTCCTATTTCTGTGGATAGAGACTACTCATACACTAAATAATGTAATACTCTCTCTCTCTTTGACCTTTCATGTCAATATCATACCCTCAGCTCTGTTAAAAGCAATGTTATATGTCTCAACCTCTTGATTTGTGCAGTTTCTTTCATATGCTCAACTATTTTGTACTGAAACAGGAGGTTTGGACAGACATATCAAAGATCTTAGTTACATCACAGTCATTAAACATGATTTGGTATTTGGTATTTCTACTGCATTCAGAACCAGGTGATATTTAGGGATGGATGGGGAAATGTGCATGTGACCCAAAGTGCAAGATAAGTAATCAATGGTTTCGTTTGTTTGTTTTTTTCTAGAAGAGCAGGAATGTACATTTTAAATGTGTATATAAATTAATTTGATCGATATTTATGAGTCCACTAGCATAGAACTGGCTTCCGGCTATCAGATATAAATGGACCCCTGCACATGATATGCAAGGAAAAAAGCGAATTAACGAATTTGCTCCCACTACTTAATAATTTGTTCCCTTGTATTAGGTAAATCTTGACCACGTTGAATTAATTCATTTCCTTGTCTTACAATAAATCATTGAATTCTGAATTCTTAATCGTGGACAAATGACATATGCGGGGCTCCATAGATAGACTAAAAGCCACAAATCTCTTTGTTGATGGATATTTTGGAAAATTGAATGTGTTTTTCTCCACAGTGTCCAGTGTTGTTTTGGACCCCATTTTTCAAGATATCTTATTTTGTATTCCACGGAAGAAGGAAAGTCATACAGGTTTGAAGCGACATGAGGGCAAGTAAATGACGACACAATTTTCGTTTTTGAGGTGAACTATCCCTTTAAATTAAAGTAGTGCCCATATGAATCAAATCAAATGATCTATTAGATCAGTGATCATACATCTAATTGCATTATGATTTCTAAACAATGATGCCAACTAATGCCCTGTCATCTTTAACATTTCTCCTCCTCAAGGAGCAGTTGCAAGGCAGAGTACGAGCGCATGATGGAGATGTTACAAGACTAGAGCCTTTGTGATGTAAGATGGCAGTTTCTCTGGAGCCACCATCTGCTGAGAGGGTCAGGCAGCATGTAGGGTTCACATCTCCTGGATTCTGCCTGCTTCCCAGCTGCCATGCCCAGGCACTCCGAGATCCACACACAACCACACTTACACACCTCGCAATTATCACACACACCCGTAGACGCGCATAATCCCAGGCATGCTGCGCTGCCGAAACCATTCTCATCAGGGCTGACACTAAAAAATGCTGGGATTCTTGTCTTGAGGTACCAGTGTTTTTTCCTCCCTCTTTGGGTTTGTGCAAAATCCACACATTCTGTTGAACCCATGCGCCCACACTGCATCAGCCCTGCATGTGACCACTGCTCCACTGTGCTCTATTCAGCACGGTGACTCGAACTTTGCTCACATTCCATATACTTTCTTTGGTCCATTTTGCCCGTCAGCCTGTTCCTCAACCCTTTGAATAGGCCCTGGGCTTAGAGGGAAAACAATCTCCCAGAATTTTTGGAAGAAGCTGCTTGCCACGTTTTTTTTTTTTTTTTGTGGTCCATATATCATGTACCTGTTTGCTGTACTGTTCCTTTGAGTTTAAAGTGACTCTTTTCTTTCCTCAAATGGAAAGTAGTCATTCTACAAGAACATCGCTTAGCCAAACTCTTACTCAGTCCAACCCAGTGAGGTTTTGTTTTGGATTTTTATCAAGTGATTTAATTTTTTGCCATTATTCTATTAGCTTCAAACCACGGCTGGAAGGTTAAGTTTCTCGAAGTTCTTCGGAGACTCTCAAGGGCACTTATTGAATTAAAACTTTATTGCTCAGTTTTGGAAAAAGAGCAGAGCGCTCCAATTAAGGAAAACGGCAATTCATAAACCCTCTCGACCATGTTACTAAATAGAGATGTACAGTGTTCAAGAGTTTTCAGCTTGCGGTTTTGCATCTATCGCAATCTGCGACTCAGAATTTGTGCTTTTTGACTCGTCGGTTGCATATGTCCATCACGCTCCTTATTGGCATTGAAAGCAAACTGAATTTATTTTTTTCTTGTGTTTCGAGATGCCTCCCTTTCCCAGCCTCCCTCCCTGCTTGCCGCCTGGCAGGCCCGTGTGTCAAAGGTGGCTGCTGCAGAACAGACTGTGGGAACAGCCGGTCAGCCTCCCCTGTCCCCTATTCCCTAACCAGAGGGGCAGCCATCAATCCAAGCCTGCTCGAACCCCTCCCGGCGCACACATCTCCGCAACCCACACACTCGCTCCCCAATAATCCGCGGAAGCAATTTCATCTCGACTCGGGTGGCGGCCCATTGTCGCCAACTCCTTCAATCTTTCCTAATTAACTCTCGCTTTGTCCCGCATCCGAGCTTCTGGACTCATCTCTACGACATTCCGATCGGGGCCGGTCTTCACACTCCCGGGCAACCCTCGAACCCTAATCCCACTGCACCCCTCCCTCCCGAGTAACTCTTTCCACTTTTTTCTTTCCCCCAACCTGCCGATCACCTACTTACAGAGTTAGGTAGGGGCATTAACTCCTTGGGTTTTTTGAAAGAAGAGGACGAAGGAGGGGGCGAGGAGGAGATGGCCAGAAAGCGACTCCAACCCAGACAATTAGAACAATGGGTCGGGCCTGTAGGAGGCTAACTCGCAGCGTCACGCCTGGACGGTGGGGTATTTTGTCGGTTTAATGAATTGTCCGTCAGTCCCTGGCTGCATCACAGGCCGTGTAGAGAGTGGACAGCAGGGACCCAGACACTAAGTCGGTATTTATTACACTGCCTTTGTCACTAATTGAGCTAATTATCAGTGACTCTTCAGCACTCCCACAATGACAGTAGCCCTCCACCCTCCGCCTCCCTCATCCCACCAGTGCCTGGGAATGCAGCCTGACTCTGCTTCTTTATCCCTGTTTTTTTTATCCTTCTCTCCTTATTCTCACCATATCTTTACCATTTTTATTAATGCTTCGTATTGTTTAATTATTTGGCCTTATAATGCACATGCATGTATACAGAAACTTCCTGTAAAGTCAAAGATCAGTTTCATTTATTATTTCTATTTTATTTAGTATTATTTACCATTCAAGTAGGGAAGCTTTTTAGTTATATATTTTTGGCGTGTTCGGGTTTATTAAGACAGTTGAATTGAGACAGGAAGTAAAAGGAGAGTGATTGGACATCGAGCTGAGATTCAAACTCAGATCGTCGGAGGCGCTACTATGAAATATGTTGAAGTGCAGCCCACAAGGTTACTGCTGTCAAAGAAAAAGTATGTATAATGTGCATTGTTTTTGTCTCGTATAACTACACCACCAGTCAAAAGTTTGGAATAATCCAGTTTTTTTTTTTTTAAGAAATCTTTTATGCTCACCAAGGCTGCATTTATTTGATAAAAAATACAGTAAAATAGTAATATTGAGAAATATTACTGTAATTTTAAATAACCATTTTCTATTTGAATGAATATATATATATATATTTAAATTTAAATTCAAATTTAAATTATTCTTCCTGTGATTATAAAGCTGAATTACTCCAGTCTTCAGTGTCACATGATCCTTCAGAAATCATTATGCTGATTTAATGCTCAGTTTTTCCGATTATTATTGCTGCTCAATTATTATTCATGTTGAAAACAGTTTTTGCTGCTTAATATTTTTGTGGAAACCATGGTGCGTTTTTTTCAGGAATCTTTGATGAATAGAAAGTTTAAAAAAACAGCATTTATTTTAAAATAGAAATCTTTTGCAAAATTATAAATGTCTTTGCCACATTTGATCAATTCAAAGTATCCTTTTGGAATAAAAGTATTATTATTTTAAAAAGTCTTACTTACCTCAAACTTTTGAGTGGTAGTGTATCACTGTTTCCACAAAAATATATTGCAGCAGGACTGTTTTCAACATTGATAAGGAATGTTTCTTTCAGCAAATCAGCCTATTAGAATGATTTTTGAAGGATCATGTGACACTGAATATTGGAGTAATGAAGCTGACAATTTAGCTTAGCCATCACAGGAAGAAATTGCATTTTAAAATATATCACAGTAGAAAACAGTTATTTTAAAATGTAACAATATTTCACAATATTCCTGTTTTTACTGTATTTTTCATCAAATAAATGCAGTCTTGGTGATCATAAAAGACTTTCAAAAACATTTTAAAATTTGTATTTTAATATCATAAAAAAACTTTTGACCAGTAATGTATATAATTAAAAATATTGTATGTAGAAGTTCAACATTTGAATTTAAGCTAAATTTAATCTGTTTATATTTATTATATCTCTGTTTTTTTTTTCCTTTTCTTTCTATCAGTTATCTGTGAGCTTTCTCTTTTATCCTGTCAGCATTCCAGATCCTATTTCTCCTCTCATCCTCTCCCATCGCTGTGTGTTCTGGGATGCGGATGTGACGACTACAGCGGTGCAGCACTCCGTCTGGCTGACCTTCAGTGGCCCTGCGATATGTTGCGGTGGGTGAGAGAAAGAATCGTCTGCCTTCATCCAAACTCTTGTGGTCGCGTTGGCCTCGGCAGCAGGGCGGGGGCAATGCAACCTGTCATTATTTCTAATACCATTTCTTTATTTTGTTTCTGATATTAAGTAAGTGAAGCAAAACCGCTAGTGTTTTGAAAACATACAGATTTAACGCTGTGTTACACCACTGCCCAAATTCCCTCAGCGGTTCCTGTGGATTTAGGGTGCATAACTGTTCGAAGAAGAGGGCTGGTCTTGTGCTTTTGGTGGTGGGAATGATGTTTAGAGGAACGGATATACTTTGCACACTCACATTGTTGATTTTAGGTTAAGTGCTTTAGACATACCCTGTCAGACCAGGTTGTGGTTCTGAGAAATGATTGATGGATCATAAACTAAGCTGAGGAGAATATTCTGTGGAACATATGGAAAGACGAACCTGCTATTCAGCTCAAACTGCGAGCAGTGTTAGGAAATGAGGGGTTCTCTGAAAACACAGATAATGAAAATATAAACTTTATTGTGCTATTACTCTATATGAAAACAACTTTTCTAAACTGAGCTAAAATATTTCATTTTATCAGCGTTTTTTTCTAACAAAAAAGCCATCATACAATAATAAATACTTTTCATTCACAATATTAAAAGATGGTGTTCAGTGCATGTAAAACACAAGTGTCAAGAGACAAGCAAATCAGGCATTTGACAAAGTAATCATGTCTCTGAGATGTATGTGGCCTCGTTTTGATCATCCATTTGTGATCATTTGTATAAGTTAGCACACAACTGGATGGAATTACTCATAAAATTGTAAATAATAATAGTGTATTCACCCCACTTTCAGATTAAGTCATTTTCTCACATTGCAAGTTGCAGCATAAATATATAGATCATATCTATTTATAATATTTACAACATTTTGGTTATGTTAGCTGATATACAAAATACAGTTTCCATAATTGTGGCTCTTTCAAAAACATAAATGTGAACTGTTTGTCCACTGTAAACTAGGTAGTAGGGCATTTACAGGATTATCTTTACACACTTTTTAAAACTAGTATGTACTTGTGCGTAATCGATGTATAGTGTCTTTGACAACTTCTGACAGAAGTCTTCTTCTGTAATAGTAAACATGCTTCTGTCAAAGCTGAACCGACGAGTCAATCTCAGGTCAATCTTAATTTTTCTCTTCCCAATACTTTTCCATCAGTACAATAACATGGTATACCACATAATAATAAATGGTATTAAAAAATGGCAGGAGACTCAAAGCAATGACGGGAAGTATGGCAGGTCCGAATGGGAAATCACGAGAGGTTGGGCCGAGTTCGGGATTCCGCTACATAGTAATCGGAAAAGGAAGCCCCATCCCTTGAGAAGCACTTCACACAGTTTTATGTGAGACGAGTAGGACTGCAGCTAAAGAAAACAAAACGCTAAAATATTTTAAAGAACCGCCCTCTTGTTAGAATTTTGCACTGGTTTATGAGAGAGCATGCTTGTGGTTCGCTAACCACAGGAACATCTGTCAAACTGTGTCCAGTTACTACTTTCTAGCTTCTATGTTCCCCAGAGTACCAGAGATGGAGATCAGGAGAGGAAAAGACAAGCTAGAACCTCAGGACTGGTGGTTCAGCACCCTAAATTTTAAACGGCGCCTACATGAACGCTTTTTCCTGCTCATAGTGGCGCAGTGTGTAGTGGTTCTCGACCCATTTCTTACGGTTCGAAGCCCTATGCTGTAGTA